TATACCGCACGTCAACAAACTGTATACAGGGAGCTGGTTTTGTTGTCTTGTGGTGCTGTCTCGAGAGACTGCAGACTGATGGTAGAGAGTTCACATAAACAAATGCAAAACGAGATGAGTGGATTTCTTGAAAAGGTGATCTGTGTTGACAGATATCTTTGTGTAGATGCTACTCATGCTCAAGTAGTGTTTCTGTGTCTGCAACCTTGTGTGTTTCAGTTCAATAAAGGTTAAATGGGAAAAACAAATATCACACCTTTAGGAAAGAGAGTCAGTTTTCCTCCTTTTTCTATGATTTCATTCAGTCTTTCTTTGGTAGTATGCAGTAAAGCAGTCCTTATAGGGAGTGAGAGAAAATTCAACCACTATTAGTTATAAATCAGTCCAAATTGCTGCAGACTCCCCTCAGTTTGAAGGCTGGTGGTTTGGCCCCCGCTCCCGCGGACCGTCAAATGTATGAACAGGATAAGTTAATACATGAGTGAATGTGACAAAGTGGTGCTTTCAGTGGTTAAAAGGCTGATATAGGACAGACAGAAGGTTTCCAGACCCTGAGAACCGATTCATTGATGTTTCACATGTACATTTTACAAGTTGCACACATCTATTTTTATGCAAGTGAAACTGGTGATTCCCACCCCTAGTAGGTTTACAGCAGATGTACTTGGCTGTACTTACCCACTTTGACAAACGTCTCATCGCGTTTTTTCTTTGCTTTCACAAATCCAACGGTAACATAACTTACACAGAGTTCCTCATCCAGCGGAGAAGAGAGCCACAGTCCTGACCGGGGAGGGAGTTTCGAAGCTCAAAATGGAGAACTGACTTCTTACCTGAAAATACCTTCAAATGAAATATGGAGCCAACAAAATAGTGTTAGTTCAGGCAGGTTTGGAAAACCACGTTCCACCACAGCACCTTTCTTTTCCTGCTTTGGGGTTTTATTTGCATCACATGTTTTGTTACCGATGCCTGATCCGTTCTGGACCCTCTCTGCAGGTCTTTGCTGCTGCTCTCCCTGCCTCATGCTTTGGCATTATTACACATACACATATGGAAGGACAGGGAACTCAACAACTATAACTTACTGCACACATATAAAAGTCCTCTGACTAAAAACGGTCAACTCCTGGTTAAAATCAAATTTCAGATGTACCAGTTTTACGTGCATCATTTTCATTTTAGGCCCCTCTGAAATATTCACGAGTATCTCCTCACAGAGCATTATCACGTATCCTTAATTGTGTACAAACATAAACATTTGTTCTGCAGGTAATCTGACTCAAATATCCTCATTCAAAGCGACTCACAGCCCACGCAAAAGGAACATTTCTGCCTCCTGGTTCTGATAAACACATTAGTAAGACACCCAATCAGCGCTGTAGTTGATAACTCATCTGTAATTGAATTTGTGCTTTTTGTTTTTATGATATCATGAAGTCTGGGAGTCTGCCACAGCAGTCCTTTAGTAAATGACCAAACAGTGAAAGCAGCCAGATGGTCTCTGTTAGCGGCGGCTCCGTCTGTGCCCTCATACAGAAAAAATATCTTCGTCCAAACTGAAGAAAAAGGATCTCCTCTTCAGAGTTCAGTTCCAGTCTGTGCTCACTGGCGGGTTCTGGCTCTGGTGCCCAGTGGAGAGCAGTTAATTGACATTGACTGTTGGGACACAGGACACCAATAGAGCAGCGGCTCCCCTGCAGCCTGAGTGCTGCTCAGAGAGCATAAAGGCTGCTCGCTCTGAAAAGGCTACCTCAGAGCATGAATACTAATGGAATTGATTTATACCTCCATTTCCTGCGGGGAGACTCGTGGACTTTTATTGCCAAGGAGGAGCCAAGACCCCGGTGTGTGCTCAACAGCCTGAAGTGGAGGGAAAGCAGCTGCACAGCCAAACCCACAGAGGCTCTGCAGCTCGGTTTCGAACTGAGCAACTGGGTCTGGTGCCATTATGTGGCTCCACTGTGAGCTGGGAACATAATGACACTTAATTGTTGTGTCACTAGAAGGAGGGAAACCTTATGAAGATTTTGGAGGCGAGAAAATTCAAACATTCTTGGTGAATGGGGAGGCTGAGATAATTTAGGGCCCAGATTTGATTGAGGAGTGATGTCCTGAATGGTCACAGTTAATCTTATGGAAGTTAAAATAATTGGTAACCTGATTAAAGTAGCTGGAAGGAGTTTTCATTTTCTGTTGATTTTGGCGGCCTCTTTGGACAAAAGCGGTAATGTTTTAGCACGTATTGTTGTAAAGACACTTATCTGGCTCCAAAAACGAACTTTTTTGTTGGGCAGTTTGAGGCAGCTTACTTTGTAAATGTATTTAAAACGGGAAGTGAGTCTGGGTCAGCCCCAGTGTGTGACAGACGTGGAGCTCTGCTTGTCTACGATGTCTGCAAGAGTCTCCTGCTGCAAGACGTTGTCACTGTCTGTGTAGTGACAGTAATATGTGCGTTTTCAGTGCAAGTTAAAGAGAAAAAAAACGTATGCGTTGTTTCTGGTCTGAGTGCTGCAAATCGTTTCGTTCGTGGTCTTGACCTGACCACTGGCTCCCTGTTTTTTCCCCCGTTTTCACTATTTAGAAATACATTATCTTCACACAGATGGGCTCCTTCAGGGAGACATCAACAGAAATGAGAGATTTTTTCAAATCGAGTTAGAATTCCTTACAGGAAGTTTAAAAAAGAACTTTTTGATTAATCCTGTGAGACATCGAACAACCGCCCGATTATTGAAATCAGTTCACCAAGGAACCAGAAGAAGAAGGATAATAGCGACTGTTATTTCTCCTGCTGTATGGCTGTGATCCATTTATACCTCCTTTCCATTATTTTTACATACAATAAGCGGTGACTGTACCTTTGCCGTACATGTTATTGCATCCCACTGCAAATCAGGAGATAATCATGGTCGAGTCTAAAGATTGCGGTGCGGTATTTATGGATAAATTTCTGGGTAACATTACATAGAAAAAGTGAATACTTTGTCTCAAGTAATAAAGTTTCAAATGTTGGCAATCACTCTGCACAGTAGATTCAACAAAAGACACCGCAGAGTTGCATTATGGAAGATCCTGAGTTAACCACATTTTGCTTATCGTGATTAAACATAAAAAAATCAGGAAATCTGCTCGAAGGACTCCAGATTTCACTGTAATGATTGTATTCAGCTAAAAAGAGAGTTAACTTTAGATGAACAACAGAATTACCGTTAGTTAAAATATTCCTGATCCTCTCCTGGAGGATTTCTCAGCCTTCTGTGCAGCTGGTTAAACTCTGCAGTGTTGACTTTTAAAGTTAACAAAGTCAAAGTTTGTCGCAGCAGGAAACTCCACAAGTTGAAAGGAAAGTTATTAAGACAGTAAAGGTGAAAGTAGAACATTAATCTCTTCTTAGACCAGCTTGTATTGAAATGCGGAATGTTTAAAGTTAGTCTTTTAATGGTGGACCACTGTGTTAACTCACTTGTCACTGGCTAGAACACCAATAAACCTTTTTAATCAGGAAACCCTGAACCATGAGTGTACAACAGCGGACACTTTTCAGGTTAAATGAATACCTGTGAGTATACGACTTCGATTCGGCTTTAAGGAACTGTCTTGCAGTCTTGTTTATAGCTTCATTAGCTCTTGCAGGACCATCTCATGTGGGTTAAACGACCAACAGCAGCCTATGTTAAATTCAGTGAAGTGAGGGTATTGTGCTTAGTCGTTAATCTTAATACTTCATGCCAACAGAAGGAACCTGTTGCTTGTAATTGGAAATCTCTTGCAGTGGGGAATCTGTGCTGTTCAAGTCGTAGAGCATAAATCAGTTAACATCTGTTGCAGCAGACAGTGAGGAAGATTTAATTCCCTGTGCTATGTGCTTATTCAGGCACAACTCACCTCTAATGAAGTACTTATTTATGCACCAAGTGAAGCAAAAATGTGTTAAATTATTCACCTTTTCTGACAAGTTGTGTTTTTGTAAAACAGAGATTCTGCAAATAAGGTCAGCCTGGCAGCTAACCTTTAAAGGTGAAATTGACTTTTTTTTTAATGCGTAGAAGGTGAGGTGAAAGTGACAAGCTATACTCTCTGCATGTAAATACAACCTTTTCAAAGAATCTCAATTAAAATCAGACCCAAAACTTTGACAGGCAATAAACTCAGAAAATGTCAAAGCAGCATTATCGATCTAATTGAAATGCCGGTGGAGGTACCAGATGTGTTCGGGCGGCCAGATCCGCTCGGGATCGGCACCTATTGATGACGTAAGGCGAAATGATTGGTTGAAAGTTGGTTTAGATGATGTGGAAGATTGTGGTTAGTCCGGACATTACAGAGGCGGTTTTTGCTGGATTAGGTTTCATGGGATTGTTGTTCTCCGGAGAGAGCATGGACGAATTTTACGAAGCAATCTACCGCTACTTATCAGAGGGGATTTACAACAGCCAGACTACCGCCTCTTGGAAATGTGGAATAAAAGCAAAACTATCTATTGATAAACTGAGATCCTGAGTAGATTTGTTTTCTTTTTCCTTTAGAAAAATTAACATAAAGCCATCTAAAAATGACAGTACAGTAAGTTGTAATTCTCTGTATTATATGGAGAGACAACTTCGAGGTCAATTGAATGAACAAAGAGAAATAAGGAAAAACTGCGTGGGGCTTTTAACCGAGCACATTTGGCTTACTAAATGTAGTTTGTCCGAGTGGACTTGCCGTAGTGTGACGTCTTTAACAGGCGCTGTTTGGCACCCTGAACACATCTGGTATCTACACCGGCCTCCTTTTCAGCAGGAGGAAAACCCAACTCTGGAGTGAGTGACATCCCTAATCCTTACTTGATGTTCCTCCGTTATCTTGTTTTAGTTGATTTGTTTGATGCAAAGGTTCGCTGATAGTATCACAGACCCACTTATGTCAAACAAACCGCTGTGAGCCTGATGATATTTGCATCACTTTGATGTCTCTGCCGGGTTTCTGAAAAACCATATTTGAACAACAACAGTGAATTCTGTTTACAGCCCTTTTCACTTTTATTGGATAGATGTTAAAATTCCTTCTTAGGAAAATAAAAATGCACAACAGCCATGTTGAGATGAAACACAGGATTGACTGACAGAAACAGTAACATGTGATATACATTGAAGGTCTTTGCACATATAACTCCTTATTGAACGCCATGCAATGATCCATGACTGCAGACCATGTCTCAAGCCTGATTTATACTTCTACGTCAAATCCATACCGCAGCTTACGCCCGTGTCTGTGCAGAAACCGACATATGAAGCCTGATGTGCACCTCCTCAAAATGTAACTGCATGTAAAACTATTTAAACTTGAAACCAGGGAGTGGTCTACTGAGTCGTGTTGAACTAGTGACCTTCAGACCTTCAGTAAGTTTTAAGACTCCATGGTTGCAGCTTGGAGCTTCCTTTCGCATGCTGTCTAAAGCCACGCCCCCTCAACGTCTACTTTTCAAAATAAAAGCTTGCATCTGGTCTTTTTCGTACTTTGGCAGTCACACGGTAACATTAACTTGGATTTGTTAAACCAAAAACCTTGATGACTGGACCTAAAATGGTTTAATTAATTCCATTTTCCACCACAAGTTTCTTATCAATGAGTGCTTATCTGCAGTTGTTCATTTTCTTTTTGATGAAAACACATCACCATTTTTATTCAAAACAGGGGATTTCACAGACCTTCGAGTGGCGGAAGTTGCCATCTTGGTTGTTTAAGAATACATTTGTAGGTCTTCGTCTTTAAGTAAAGGACTGTGATTGGATTGGTACTTATTCAAAGGGAATCATGCAAGAGAGTAAATTACTTAAATATACAGGGAAAGTAAGATTTAGCTTTCCCAGATGGATGGCAATAAACATACTCGTGAATTTGTGAAACACCCAGGGATAAAACAGGAGGCTCCAAGTCTGCAGCAATACCTAACGTGTAACTAAAGTATGATCAGCTGCTACTCCTGAACTTTTATCAACTTCGACTCCAACATAAACTCTCGCACCAAGCAAGAAGAGAGCACAGCAGAATCAGAAACTGGCGATGTTTTCGGCCACGTTGGCGTAGCTACAGCGTAGAGTCAACGCAGAAGAATAAACCAGGCTTTACTCTCAGGTTTTAAACCATAGATTAACCGAATGTTACTCCCACTGCTCCCGCATATTTGTTTGTTTTATTGAAAAGAGGCAGCAGCCAAAGGTCGGCTGCAGCGCTGTTCAAATGCAGAAACACAAGACGATGAAAAATTATATGAAATCACTTTATTCTCAGAGTGTGCGGTGATTCCATTTTTGCAGGAAAGTTACAGACTGAAACATCTGTCTAAAACGGCATGCAGTGAGGCTAACAGGTGGAGCTTCGAAACACACAGAGGACACGTAACGATTTTATCAACAACCTTGCCTACATCGCACACCATAAGCATGCATACATTTTGTCAACAAACAGGGAGATAGAGAGAGAGAAGGAGGGAGAAGGGTGAGAAGATTTCGCAGTACAAAAAGAATTCACCAAATAAATAACTTCTTTTTTTCTCAAAATACCAACCACCAGAAGACAGAAACAGGACTGGCTACGGACAATAAAGAAACAAAATACCTCACGAGATTAAGCATCTTCTCAACACGTACAAAACAGAGAAAGACAGATGCAAAGAGAGAAACATCAGACAGTTACATTCAAGTCACATCGAAGGAGTATTTTTTTAAATGGTGTATTTTTCAGGCAGTTTCTTAATCATACTAATGGCTGTATGAGCGGCACACTGAGCGACTTCCATCTGGAGTCTACTGGACTGCTAAATATTGATTACGCATGACTTGGGCAGTTTGTTTGGGCAGTGGTCTATATAAGCCATTTAGGGCGCAATCAATTGGCATTTACAAGATGATGGATGGATGGATTCATGATGGCGTTGATGGACGAGATGGAAAGGGCGGTGAGGTTTCAAGGCGAACCAGTTTGCAAAGGGTCACCGGTAGCCTGGAGGTCTGCTCGATGGTGCTAGCAAGCTAAGTTGCTGGGAATGTTGAACATGTGTGTCGACTGGGCAGTAATTGTAGCTTCTGGAATATTCTCGGGCCAAACAAGAGATGTCGTTCAAAAGTAAAGTTCAGTGAAGGCTTGCGAGGCCCGCGGGAAAGTAATAGTTTCTTCGCAGAGAAGGCTAATCATGCTAAATACAAGGCTAGTAATGGTTTGAATAAAACGTAAAGCTAAAATACCTGAGAATTTCAAAATAAATCAGATATGCCGAATGGAAAATCATGTCTAAACCTACTACTACCTGTTCTATTCTTTGGTTTGATCGGATAACTGCTCTGAAAATGGGTTGAAGTGGTTTTGATGCATGTAAACAACTATCGGCTGCTAACTATCTGCTAACACAGAGGCTGGCAAAGGCAGTTTTACGAGTACAATAACATCACAGGGAGTTCAATAAATGTGCTCTCTAGGTGGCGTGGATGTTTTTCGATTACAGAGCTCACAAAGCGCTTGTAAAGACTAAATTTACATCGTCTACGCCACAGGAATGCACGAGTTTAGGATCAGAGTAATTTCAGTTCCAGCTAGCTTAATAGAAACAATGTGGAAAAGAAGCTTTAAAAACTGTTTTTACGCCTACAGCTACTGTCCACATGTGAATCACCAAAACAGTGCCAAGCAAAAAATTACCACAAGATCTATCTTATGTCTGCAACAAACGCATTTATGCTTCCCCTTTGACCTTATGTGTGATATTTTCTGTGCATGGCAGCTCAAGTAACTTTGCATTAAAAAATGAGACCCTGTCTTAAATCACATTAAAAACAGATTTGATGGTTTGCGAATCATTTAAACACCATATTTAACCGAAAATAAAGTCAAGACAGCATAGCATCTCAGAAGCAAATTTTAGGGATTTGATCATTAATATTACATTGATTGTTTTACAGGATTTCTCTGGACAGAAGGGACAAGGCCGAAATCTAAAGTGGTACTGCGTTAAAAACAGACATGACACTGTAGTGGAAATCCCCGCATGGGCCCCAAATCACATCCAAAAACGCTGTCTGTGAACAGTTTGTCGATGCATCCTCGTCTGCAGCTTTCAACTGTACCGTGCAATAAAGAAACTGTAATATAGATTTTGACACTCTTTTTGGATGCGGTGTCCTCAGTGATTTTCAGACCATCAAATTCTGTTTTTAATCAACAGTTTATTCAAACTTCTTGGAATTAAGGTCGCACTTGGTCAAACCGGGAATCATTTGATCCTCTAAACATCATTTTCACTGTTTTTATCTAAGTAACTGCGTCAAAATTAAGTTCTTCACTGTGATAAACTTACAGGCTAACAAAGGCATCGGCTGAAGCCTACTGTAACGTGTGTGTGTGTGTCACCAGCACGAGTCTGTTGGAATGTCGGAAACTTCTGGAATGTTTGAACAAGACACTGTGGAATGACGAGGAAATAAAAAACAAGGCATATGGAGAAGGATTTGATTTTGTCCTCTTAGTTTGAGTCTCCTCGAAATTGTGCGATAACACGTACCACCAGGACAGGTAAACATTTTCCGTGGATCGGTCATGGAGCTTGAGCTGAGCGCTTCTTATAAAATCCCCCCATTATTAATCTTCATTGTGTTTTATGAATCCTGCCTTTGACAAACCTTTTATGATTCTGAACACAAATCCTGGTTGTGCTCATCATTCTGTAACACGTGACTGAACATTTAGTGTAGAAGACACGAAACAAGTCGTCCCACCTTCCCCCTTTTCTCTTTTTTAATCAAATATTTCGGACCTTCACAAAGGCGTCACTGTCACTATGCAGACACACCTGTGCCTTTTACACCCACTAACACAATAAGGAGTAAGATTAAACATATAACAATGAAGATTGTCTGTTATTGCTGATTTGGGACTTCACTCCCATCAGTTAAACCAACGGACACAAGACAACTTCATTTTTCGAACAATATATTGCACTATTGTCACTGTCTGTTCACATATAATGTGTTCACAACAAAGTTGTGTTTGTGAATTTCTTTTTCTTACAAAAAGGTGATGGAAATGAACAAAAAAATAAAAAATAATCAACATTTTCTAGCCTGGTCTAAAAATTTAGAAGTCGTACTGCCAAAGCAGAGCAAGCGACACCCGCCACAGGACGTAAAAACTGAAAGCTCGACCCACGAACGAGGAAAGTGAGTGAATTTATCGTAAGAATTTTTATCCAACTTTTTAGAGACAAACTTCATTTACGGAGAACGTTTAAAGTTTCCCCGATGGAAGAACGTTTTAGACACCTACTGTACACGGTGGACAAGGTGTGAGTTAAATAAAAATGGAAAAACCAGTTATTGCCTCAAATATCAGTGTATTTTGCTTCATCGTAACAAATGAAATGATCTCCATGTGTGTACTCCACTTCACAAAAGTTTACTGCATGCTTAAAAAATCAAAGAAAAATAATCACTTCAAATAAATTCCTTCACTTTCTGGTTTACAGGTGTTGTTTTTGACTCTACCAGCGCTCATTTTACACACTCACAAAGAAACCCATAAAAACATAAGAGACAGTCAATGGGGTGGATCCTCACAACGGAGAACTGATAAAAATGTCAAAGTATTTATATACACTGTATGTATCAAATATTAGCAAGAACATAACAGGAAAATTGAATTAAATTTTGATATGATTTGGATAATTTCTCAAAAGTTAAAAATATGGCTTATACTCTTCTCGTTATATGTCACATTTCACTTCTATATAATTCTCTTTTTTATAACCCGAGGCTATTTACAAACAAAAAGGGTGGATGATGGGTGATTTCTGGCCTGGAAAGCGCTGCGTTTGATTTGCCTTTGTGTAAAGAAACCAGATCTGTGCAGGTGGTATATACTTTTACATTAAAATTGTAGGTTTTCTCAATCTTTAATGCAAATTTTAAAGTATGTATCACCTCATGGGATCAGGTGTTTTTTCAATCAAGGGCAAAGTCAGAGCACGCTGCTCAAGTCCAGGACACTTTAAGTCGGGTTGGTAAGGTGAGGGTTGGGGGCGAAGAAAAGTGTGACTGCAGGTTTGGTTGGGGGCAGGGTGGTACAGCATTAGTCGTAGTTGGATGAGAGTTGAAAGAAGTTTATCACATTTAACCCAAAACACTGTTACTTTTTATTGAACATATCCATGAGCGGGGCAGGGATGAACTTCATGACCGTGTCCACGATGCTCTCCTCTTCCTCCTCGTCGCCGCAGCCGGTTGGAACGGCCTTCTTGGGACGGGTGAGGCTGCCCTCGGAGGCCTGCTCCATAGCAGCCGCTGCCTCGGCTTCCTTCTCCTCCTTCTTTTTGATGCCGTACTGCACAGAGAGGAGAGAGAGGACAACAGGCATGGAGATGAACTCAAGTGGACAAGAGTCATTTTGATGTGATGCCATGTTTGAGTCGGATAAGAATCGAATTATTGGCAAAAGCATGTCCTCCATCGGCTGACTCCAGCTGACCTTCTACGTAATGTACCAAAACAATCAACAAACCTTTTTTCGCAGGAAACATGACCAGGCAGGTGTGTGGAGTCTGTCAGGGGAATGACAAGCTGCTGTGGCCCTGAGTGACTTTATGTGATTGTTTAGTGACAAACTCTTATTTTGAAGGAGTTAGTTGGAGGTCAGAAGGTGAGCAAAGAAGATAATGTCCTTGCAGGAGATGCAGCCAACAGTTTTTATCTCGTCTGTGCAGCTCCTCTGACAGGCAGGCAGACTGGTTTGTGTAACCACAACCAGTCTAAATAATGACTCATGAAGAACATGGAGGGGGGGCAGAGTAAGTCTCTCTGTTCTGGTGTCCTTGTCAATACTTAATTTGATGTATTATAGTACACCAGGAACAGCTTATTCCCTCTCCTCAGAGGTAAATAACAGCCTGATGCGCTCTCTCTCTCTCTCTCTCTCTCTCTCTCTCTCTCTCTCTCTCTCTCTCTCTCTCTCTCTCTCTCTCTCTCTCTCTCTCTCTCTCTCTCTCTCTCTCTCTCTCTCTCTCTCTCTCTCTCTCTCTTTGCTCTGCTCTCTGTGAATATTCAGACTGACTTCAAATGTTTACAATTTCTCCTCCTTAAAGTCCCGGCACATGAGCCGTGACATGATCATTTCATGCAATAGAAGAAAATTGACTTCAAATGATTACGCCTCTCGCAAAGTAATTCCCTTTCCTTCATTTGCATGAATTAGCTTCAGGATGCTCCTTAATGAAGTCAACGCTCGCTGCGTTGTAATTTTTTTTAGGTGCCGGGCAAAGCAGTTAAAGACATTTTCTGAAATTAAAAGTGAGCTGGATCTGAGAGGAAGTTTGGTTCTTGGTCTCTCGAGTTTGGGAGGATGTGTGAGTTTTATAGCTTCTTGGTCTAATGTTTGAACCAATTACAGAAGGAGGATCACAGCTGGTGACTATTAGCTTACAAAACCTTTGGATGAACCGACTTTTGTTCAATTAAAAGTGTTGTAGGAAAGCCATCCACTAGTTTCTGAAACAGATTTCTAACGACCGATAATGGCGTTTGCCAGTTGGGAAATTCTGACTCACCTCTCTTTCAGTCAGCCAAGCGTGAGGCAGAGAGGGGGGGTTACACCGCAAAATACTCAAGTCTTATCAGTGGTTTTGTCTTATTTCCAGAATGAAAGTGTGTTATTGTTATTAAGGTAATATGTTTTCCATTGTTAAGGGCACAACCGATAAGCAGATGCACTTGCTAGGACTCTGACCTATGCTGCAAAAACTTAAATCTGTTATATCTTGTTAAAAAAAAAAAACGGGGACATGATGAAAGTTAATATCAGAATTAGCTTTCTGACAAAAAATTGCAATCCGCTAACACACAGGCTTGTTCCACGATCATCCTCTCTACTTTTCTGAGTCTGGCCTGCATAGCGGGGCTCTGGGGGCGGAGCTTGGATTTGTGACGTATGAAATCTCACTAATGCAGAAATACTCAGAAAAGCAAATTCTCACTTACTTCAGTAAAATGCCAAATGAACATGTAGACAACAAGAAAAACATGTTTCACATCTTTAAAGTCACCCTTTATAAACTGACCGGGCCAGAATCCTTGTTTACATAATTACTTTTACTGTAAAGATCCTGATCTGTCTCACAGAATGAGTGTGTGTGGCTTCCTGTGGTCCTGCAGCCAGCCCCAAGTGGACACTCAAGGAACTGCAGTTTGCTTCACTTCCATGTTAGCTTCACTGCCCAAGACTGGGGTTTGCTGCTTGTTTTTTAGACACTTTTTTATCCTAATGAAGCTTGAAGATTTGAAGAATTTGAAGAGATATTGATGGTGGTAATTTTAGCTAACTTCTTTCTTTCCCGCCTACAGTTGAGTTTGTGCAGAGAAAATCTACTGTATGCAGCCGGAGAACAGGGAGAAAGGTCACAGGTCAGAGAGAGGTTAACAGGCTGAGTGATGGTTCACTCTGTAGGAGCGAGAGAGAGAGACAGAAAATGAGCTGAACTCCTCCGTGACCTCTTTGCTGCCCTCCAAGCCTCACGCTCATGTGATTCTGGAGCAATAAATTTCTCAAAGGACAACCCGGAGTCTCTGTTTCCACTGCGATGGAGTGGAAAGGGCAGTGGAGGGGAATCTCTAGGGAAGCTGAGGGAGTAAAAAGGTTCAAAAGTAGACCAACAGTAAATCTTCTAATTCCTGTTTTGACACCGTTACTCCAGTTTGTTTGGCAGGTATATGTATAAGGAAGGATTCTGGCTTTGTGTGTCAAACTTTTGCCTTTTTTTGTATTAAATTATGTATATGTGTTAAGTTTTAAGACCAGTTTTTAATTGAGTTTGTTGAACGTCTCTCCGAGTCCAAACATGTTCCTAATGCATGACAGATGCTTCTTAAAGGGGGTGTTGATTGAGACGACAACATGATGTGGTAATTAATCCTCTGGCATTAAATCAAACAAATGTTGCTGCAAACTTGAGGCACACAGACGGATCAAAGATAGTCAGAGTATATCAGCCTTATTAGCCATGATGCTCTAGTTAAGGTTTAGCTCAACACCTAAGCGGTTTCCTCCTGACTTTATGGCAACAAAACCTTTTCTGTGATTGTTTGACGGATTTCCTCTTTGTTTCTCCTCCTGCTCCCTTGTTTGTTTCGTGTTTTCTCCCCATGCTGCCGTGATTCTTTCTCTTGCAATCTGTCAAATCCAGTCTCTCTCGCTCCCTTTTCCTCTCAGACGTGTTCCACAGTGACAAAGACCTGCGTCACTGGAAGTGAGACAGTCACGCTTAGTCAGTCCTGCTCCACTCGCTCTAATCGAACACTTTCCGCAGATACGCTGTCATTTCGCTCTGTCGCCCTCCTCTCTTTTTCTGTCACGATTATTCCAAAGACAAACTCAAGAACCGTGGGGACTCGGCGGGGTGTGGAGCTGATCCTCAAACTCTGGGCCACATGGGGAAAAGTCGTAGACGAGCTGCAAAGTTTGATGAGTTCATTCCTGAGGTCTGATTAATCTGTGATAAAATGTTAATTGAAGGTATCAAAGGCTGGACTAAAGGGCGAGTACACCAAAAATTCCTTTGACAGCAGCATGTAAAAGAGTAAAGACTGACCTCAGTTAAAGCTACTTTTTCTGATGTTGTAGTCCGTTTATAAAAGTAGACTTAAAATGTGTCTGTTGTTTTGGGATTTTTGAAGAGAAGATCAGTACAAACATTAATTTAATCTGCATGGTACCTCGACAAAAGTGATCCTCCATCTGGTTTGATTTGGATTTGGGATATTTTATTTCATATATATTTTCCAGGCAACATTTCAGGTTTTATCTTCCCACAGATACTACATCTGGTCTTACAAAGTACATCATTGTGGTTTCTCCAACAGGTAAACCAAAACAGGTGATCAAACGTAGATGTGGGGAAAATGGCAAAGGTGTAGTAGAGCTGAGGAATATTCACATTTGGTTGATTCTGGTGACCTCTTTAGATGAAATCAGCTGTGAAGATTATCAAGTTGTGAAGACGTGGCTCTTTTTGTTATGGGAGCAAATGAACGGAATAATCCTTCTCCAGTATCCTCTTTGGAAACAAAAACCTCCTCTTTTTCGCTGACTGACTTCTCACATCTAAACTTTACCAGCTGAGTGCTAAACATTCAGGAAGAGTCTCGAACCATGACTCAGGCTTTTCACGAAAAATCCGACCCAAGCTCAGAAGAAGAAATAACCAGTCTACCTTCTGCTGTCGATCATAAGGAGGCATCAGTCCAAGTGTAAGACCATCAAAACTTCTTAAAAACTCGTCACCCTGCTTTCTGTCCTGTTTATTTTCACATCTCTGCAGACAGTCAGTGTTTGGAGTGAACCTGCCTGTTTGTTTTTCAGTTCAGAGACTCCCAGGAGAGAGTTCACTCCAGAGTATACTGACGCTCTTACACCCCCCCTTCAAATCATGAGCCAAGTACAGACTAGTTGTGTGTAGATGCTGCTGTAGCAGATGGTCCTAGTTGTTAAATAATAAGGTTGTTGGTTCTGTGATAGAATAAAAGTTGTATGTCGTCTTCAGTCACTTCAGTCTACAAAAAAAGACGTGTTAAATGTTGATTGTGTTTTTCTCGGAGAACAACTTTGACCTGGCCTGAATCTGTTCTCTTCCCTCGGCTGAAAGTCTCTGTGGTAAAAACGTACTCTGTCATCTGTTTCCACCATCTTACCCCGTCAAAGAGTGTGTATGATGTAACCTTTTAGAAAAGAGCCTCTCATGTGTCAGCTGTGTTCAGGTTTTTGTGTTTTCTTACCTTATCCCTGATGCCCTGTCGGATGTTTTCTCTCTCTGCCTCCATTTTTGCATATTTGGCCTTCCTCTCCTCCTCCTGTTGCCTCAGAGCCTCTTGCCTTTCTTCCTCTTTTTTCTGAGCATCGGGATCTTTCTCCTCCTCCCCACCGAGCATCTTGCCCATGTCTTTGGTGGCCCCTGTTGATAGGAAAGAAAGAGAAACGTAAATCTTTCTGTAATTCACAGAAATTTGAAAGAAAGAGATCTCAGCCGTGTCCAAGCATTTGATCTGACCACAGAGCAGATTATATCGGCGTGATTCCCCGTCCTGACACACAAAGGAAGAGCAGTATAATCCGCCTTTGACTGAACCAAAGACAAATGAATCCAACACAGACCAGAGCAGGAGATAAAAGACGCTGTGATGAATTATTAGCAGTTCCTCTTTACTGCCTTTGTGTGGCTCACTTTGGCGTTTTCTATCTCCAATAAGATGGTCCATCCTCAGGCGAAATGCGCGCTTGGATTCTGGGCCGAGACCCGGGAACAAGAGGCTCAATGTGGTATTGTAAAGGCCATAAAAACAGATACAGGATCCCCGTTCTGCAGCTGGTATCGCCTCCTGTCTGCACTCGTAGATACGCTAAAAAGGGACTAAATGCATCATGGTCACAATTTGGTGTTTATTGTGTTTCCATGTGAGTGTAACGTTGGTTAAGACAGACCACACAGACAGGCCCACGCTTTATATAATAGAAGGACTGTAACCCAAAAAAGAGAGAGGATATAATCTGTGTCCCGATTTGATCAGATCTGGTATCACCCACCTGCAGATGCTGCAGAGGTAAAAATGAACGCCATTGTAAAAAAAACCCTCTCATGATAAAGGTGCCGCAGCTGCTGCTGGTGCTTCACACCTTCAACAATGCTGAAGCTGTCAGAGCTAAGATGAAGCCGTTTTCTGCCTCTCACTCTTTTGTACCAGCTAAACAACTCTGACAGAGGGAGATGGATAGCCCTTCAGAGTAAACATTTTGTTTTGTTGGTCCCTGCTCTTCGCCGCTTTTTTAAGAAGTGTTTTCATAAAAGTGATACCCGCATGTCAGACGCAGCGAGACGCACAAAAACACATTTAGAAAAGAGCTGATGCGAGTCTCCCAAGGAAAGACAGACTCTATTATTTCATTTTCTGTGACAATTGATGCTTCAGTCTCATTGTTAGGACATGTTGAATGAAGTTGTTTAGATAGATGCACAAAAAAAGCAGGTAACCATAACTTAAGAGGCCAGAGTTGGAACTATGAAGTTGTACAATCCTGTCTTGGATATATCTTTTGTGTTTCTCCTGTCATGCTGTACTCTGAACTGGAGAGAGGAGCTAATACGTCTGAAGTGAGAGCTCACAGGCCGGTAACAAGCCTGAGCTCCAACAGCCACCCAGCGAACCCTGAACCCACCACGACTGCGCTCTCTCTTCCACTTCCACCTCACAGGAGAGAAATTAATGAGATCTGGACCTCCTGGACCACGCCTGGCTCTCTCTCTGCCCTGACTGCAGCGTACTTGCTCTCACCGGTGGATATTCGCACCTCTGTTTGTCTGCATTCGGCTCTGTGCTGCGCCGAGGCACGCAGGATCTCCGGAGAATCGACTCAAAGACACCGCCATCTGCTTCAGCTGTGAAATTGATGAGACAGAAGTGACCTTGAGGTCCTTGGCTGCAGTCCGAACTTGCCGTGTTGACAGACCAGGCCAGGACAAGCCCCAGTCCTGAGATACACGAAGCAGAGAAGCTGCTAATTAATAAACAGACATGTTGATGTTTCTGGTTTGAACTCCTGGGTGTGCTAAAGACACGACATGTTGGCGTGATAAGAGCGCGTTACAGCCGTTGTCTCTGGGCTTTTTCATGCAGATTTACATGTGCAGAGGATGCAGTCATATGAAATGCATGAAGAGTCAGAGGTCTGGAGGTTTTTCGGTTTAATGAAGATACTTCAAAAGTGACTTTATGTAGAAAAATAACCAAACTGTTAATCTTGACTGATCATTTTTTATGCCACACTCCATGTCCTCAGTAAACTAAGACATTTTCAAAGTACAGAATAAAATTTCCTCTAAAAAACACAGTGAGGCTGAGAGAAACAGACCCTCAGAAGTACTAATATCTTTGGCTTTCACACCTACGTCAATTGGTCCGGACTTTTGGACTTTTCTGTTTAGTCCGAACCAAAGTGATAGGTGTGAAACCTCCCCGGGACTTTGGTCTTGACCAAACTGAACCACGGTCTGGTTCATGCCCAGTGAAAGCATTATTTTAAAAGGTTCAGACCTTCATACCTAAGACAGGAAATGAAGTATCCGTTATTATTTTGAATGGAGACTGTCCAATAACAAGAAATTTTATAATATTGTAGATAAAGTTACCTCTCACTATTGACAGCTTATCTTCTCAAGAGTTTTACAACACAGACTTTTCCTCTGAGCCGGTGTTGCAATGATTCACAGGATTTCATACTTTCTTTTCCTTTCCTGTGGATGTCGATAAAGACTAGACTCAGACCAGCCTCATGAACAGCTCTTCAAGTTGTTGCTGTTGGAGGTAGAAAATCAAAACTAGTATGATGGTGGGAATGATAGGTAGGAGTGACGATCTCATCCATGTTTACAACATTCAAGACCAACGTGCTGACGTCAGATGCCCGCCGGCCTAATGACCAATCAATGTAAACTACACAGACACGCAAAGCATATACTTGATGATGATATCACATAGGTTCGTCATGTAAAGTCTGTTAGTCCGTTTGCAATAATGAGAGTGTGAAACTTAAACAGACTGAACCAAATGTAAATGATGTAACTGAAAGTCCAGACCGTGTGGACAGTACAGTATGCCTGCACTTCCCACAAAATACTGCGAGCCTGGTTCGGTGAGAAATTTTGCAACTTTCTTTGAGAGTCTGAAAACGAAGCCACTCGTGAATCTAGATACTGGAAATGACAAGTCGCCAATCATCAGGGTAGAGCTTCACAAAGATTGACAGTCTGCTGTTTGCACGCAGAGCTCTTCAATGAGACTCAAATTAAAACCTTTGTCTGTGCGTTCACCCAGATCAGTCGTATTCGCTTACACACATAAGGAATCTGCCAATTGGTAGTCCACTGACATTGTTCTAAAGCTGTTTGTGGTTTTTTAGTTCTGCAGCTGAAACCTGACATCCACATAGAAACATTGGGCTTCAATTATTCATCACACACGAATCAATGTGCTTTTCGGAGTTCCTCTCTCGCAGACACCCTCGCGTGAGCGCGTGCTAAGGATTCTTGTTGACTCCCTGCGGTTCACCCCGGGCCAAACTGAACCGCTGAACAGGATTACAAACTTTTCTCTCTGACTGTGTCGCCCCGAGCCGGAGGAGATTTCCCAAACTGGTGTTCACTGTGATCTTCACAGACGCTGCGCAGACGTCTGCAGAGAATACTCCTCATCACTTCAGGGAGAAGAAACTCCTCTTTGGCCCGAGCTCACAGGGAAACTTGTTAAACTTTGGAGTCTCCTGACTGTGTGTACGACACACATTTTATCTTGTTTAAGCCCAAACTTTTTTAGGGTCTGTCCACCCACTTTCTAGCCATAATAAATGGTTCTCACATTCCCATTAGCACCAATACAGAAATGCGAGCAGAGCCTGTAAAATTTAATTCTTCATTTTGAGAGGTCCTTTGCAGAAATCAAACCTAAAATCTGACTCTGCCTAAAATATCCTGTCCTCATTCCTCCGTGCAAGCTGAGCTCGATTCATAAAGTTTAACAGATTGGTTTTTGTTCCCATGTTAAAAGTCATGCTGATAAATGTCTTATCTGTGGTCTACTGTTGCATCTGATGCCTCTTTATCACGTCTCAGTGCGTCCCCCAAACCTCCACATGACTAATCTCCATGCTCGGGACTAATTAGCTCGTCTGATTGTAACAAAGTTGCCGTGTAGTCGAGAGAGACAGTTGTTGTTCCCAAAAGCCGCGGTGTCGTCGAGCTCTGCCAGCTGTGGAGTCAGGGAGCTGTGAGCAAGACGAGGAGACTCCAGAGGAAGGGCTGAGAGTCTGAGGTACAGTTAAAAACCCCTGAAACGTGGTCTAAAGTGCTTAATTAAAGAGAACAACATATCAGTCATTGAGTCAAACTCTGGAGAGCCGTACAAAGACGCAACACGGTGATTAGATCGAGTGGTAAATACAAATCCAGGTTTTAGTGATTTATAAGTTCTGCAGCGGGATATTTTTAATCTCATTATCTTCACGGGAAAAGACCGTCTTTGGGTCTTTGTGGACTTCACTGAGTTTTTTTTAGGTTCCGTCCCACAGTGATAGCGGTAGTTCATGTGTGTTTTAGAGAAGCTTCTTTTCAGCTGTAATCACTTCAGTTTGCTAATAGGTACACTTTTTTTTGGCTAATTGCTGCTCTGTTTTCTTCATTTCGTGGTGTCTTTGAAGGTCCTTAATTGTTGAAGTTGTTGTTACCCAAAGCTTAATTAAAAAGAGAAACTGGACTTGTTTAAAGTTCTCACTGAAGAAGAGCTAAAACATCTACAAGTCCTGTTGCCTCTCTGGACCAGGTCAGTGTCTTCAATTTTCTGGTAGCTTTCTCTAATTTCTGTTATCCTGATCATGTAGTTTAATGACCATCAACAGCTGACGTTGGTTAAGAAAAAGACGCCAAACCAAAATCAATGGGATTCACAGTCTAGAAACTGTGACTGTAAGTACCAAATAACATTTGGTCCAATAACATCTGAAGTCAGGTCAGTAAGTACTCATTTTCTGTCAAATTGTTGTGACGTTTAAATTGGACCAATTATCCCAATATATACTTAAATACAGACATTTAATCACTGTAATGTTTTCCTGTAAATTTACAGTAAATTACTGTCTACTAGTTGCACTACTACTAATGGATAACAGAGACGTATTATGTGAGACAACAGACAATTGAATTTCTCTTCGGGGATTAATCTTCTTATTTTATCTTACTTTCTCTCAAATTCACCGTCGGTATTGATTTCATAGTAAAATTCTAAATTACAGTATTATATCATGAAAAATCTCAGTTAAAGCCTGTAAAGTTATAAAACAGTAATTTAATGTAAAGTGTTACATTTAAAGCCTGTAAAAGTGATGATACAGTAATGTATTATGAAATATTAGAGTTAAATAATGTAAAATTGTGGTAATAATCTACAACGATGTTACAGTGTTGAACTTCTGTAAACCTGAGATACAAGGATGGTGGTGTTTCTGAGGTTTCTTGAATGGTTCTTTTAGAGATTTTAGATTTTTATGTGTATGTAAGACAAAACAGCTGCTTTGTAGCTTCTGTCTTTTGTTTTTTTCTCTTTTTACTCAGATCTTTTGTACCGTTTCCCTGGATGGGCCATAAATGCCGATACCAAAACACGTCCCGATCTTTGCTTTATTTGCTGAGATATTTCAGTCAAGACCAAAGTTGCAGAGTGACAGACCAAAACTCAGCAGACTCACAGAGGCAGCACTTCTCTGAATCATGCAGCTGAAACTTTATTTACAGTCACTTCAATGCCACATGCAGCACGGCTAACCTTCTTAGCGACATTTGTAACCCACAGAGAGGAGAGAACCGTAACCGTCCGAACTCATCACAGCTTTGAAAGACTTCTGAGGTCAGCTGAGGACTTGGGGCTCTTTTCAGAGGAGGAAGAGGTGTAGAAATAAAAAATAAATAAAAGAAACTACATTTTAAAGCAATGAATGGTCCAGTCACATGGTGGATTAGACCGTGCAGAGGTACATAAAGAGGGCCTTAAGATTCAGAGAGCGTGTCTGGAAGTCGCTCTGGTGCTGGGGGTGTAGATAAAGCTCTGCAGGCTGATCTAGTTTGAAGAACAAAATGTATAAATCCTGATTTCCACTTTGCATTCATGCATGTAAAGACAGTGTGTCACTGTGCTGTCAGAGCTGTGACCGAGCGTGTCCTCCAGGTGTATTTCAGCTCAATAAGGGATTACCATTTATATCTATGTGCACGCATGAGTTGCATGTTTGAAGGACGGGCGAGTTCACATGAGACAGGTTCTCTGTGGAGCCCAGAGGCACATGAAGAAAGATGGAGAGAGGAAAGGGAGATGAGGAGGACTGGATTTGTCGAAAAAAGTGAGTCAAAACAGAACAGTGATATTTAGGACGGATATAACAGAAATGAGGGGCAGGAGGACAGCAGGGGGATTAGCAACCAAAATCAGAAATCCAGAAAAAACGGACCGAGAAGACAAAAAGAGAGAGTCAAAGAGATGACAGGAAAAGACGAGTACACTGGGAGAAAAAAGGAGATCCTGCTGGAATAAAAAGATGAAGAAGAAGAGAGGAAACAGGGGGACTAGCTCAAGGACTCCGTGTTCCCGCTCTCCCATCTGTCACCGGTTCACGGAAGTCCCCCAGCTGGTGACCAGCTTCAACCCCCCACGGCCCATAACCAGCAGACCAGACCTTCATCATCAGCCTCCTGCCCTGAGCCTGGCAGAAAGGAGGTCCTGAGTCTCTCGTGGGAATATCACAGAGGCAAAATAAAATGTGGAGTACAGACAGAAATGTTAGTCATGATCTTTCGGCTTTTCCAGGACTTGATCTGGAGTTCCTCTTGCTTCAACTGGACTAAAAAATATGAGACACAAAGACTAAAATGTGACTGAAATTGAGCAGTTTGCTGACAATAACTACGACTTCAATCATAACAAACAGAAAGACATTAGACTTGACCGTCTGTGTCAGAATTACGAGGATGGTTTGTTTTCTGAGAGATGTGAATTGTTTGCAAAATCTTGGTGACTCAGACTACCACCCATCACAGCACAAACCTGTTCTCACTGTGTGGAGGCAAATCAGAGGTCAGAGAAACTGCTCAGGTATGAAAGTGGGTGTTTTTCAAAAGTGACCAAAGTTCACGTCCAAATCTCGCTAACTCCTCAAAGTACACGTAGAAGTCACTGCTGCATTGTGATGCTTTTGGAAATCTGACTCCCACACGGAGTTTTATAGATGTCAAACCTTGAAATGATGAAAAAAAGTCTTTTGTTAAAGCAGCACTGAGTCACTATTCACGCTGAGCTGTCTGTGCCGGTCCTTGACAACTATTGACTCCATCAGGGAGAATGGTTTGGTTTTTGGAAAACAGTTGTCCCTGGAGAGCTCCAACAAACACTTTGGCTTAAAGACGAGAAAACGCTGTTCAGTACAGAACATTGCTTTTAAATTGGCAGGAGTGACAGGCTGACCGCAGACTGATCACATTTATTCAACGGCTGAAGCAGCCAATGTTCTGTTTCCTCAGAGATGTCCTTGACTAAGACTTATATGTTCATCCTTTTCATTCCTGATAGATTTGTACCGTTCAAAGTCTTTCCTGAAGGTTTTAACCAAACCCAGATCCTTTTAGAAAATAGCTGAACTACATAACCTTCCTTCTAAAGATATTAAAGCTTCAAAACTGCAGAAAATTATAAAATTATTGCCAAATAAATCTGCTTTGACGACAGGTTTCTGGTATGATTTCTTGCACGATCTCATTTGAACAACTTTTGTCTAACTTTGAAACAAATGACCGAAACCTTGTTGGGTTAAAGGAAAAGTTAATACAGAGTGATTCTAGGGTCTTAAGAAGTAGAATAACTTTAAATAACAAAAAACATCATTAATTGATGCTATAAAGGGCCAGAATGTAGTGTTCAATGAGGCATACACAGAAACAAAACAGGTTTAAGGGTTTTATTACTCAAATTTACCTCATTTGCACATATTTTTGTACCACTTAAAGTGTTCTCAGTGGTCTTCAAATTGTGGTTAAAATTTTCTTCTGCAGAGCTCCTGTAGCTCATTAGCAATTCACCTCTGAGTCGTGGGCGGAGACAGCGCTGCTCTTCGCACTCATCTTCACGTTAGCTTGCAGCCTAGCCAGTGTTGTAAAAGAAGCAGGTAACATAGCAGCTATTCAGCTCTCGGACACTAATGTCTTTAGAGACATGATGAAAGTTAATATCATAATTAGCTTTCTTTCTTACGAGCATTGCAAACCACTAACAGACATGCTTGATCCGCGATCATCCTCTCTATTTCCCAGAGTCTGGCCTGCAGAGCTTGGCTTCAGGGGCGGAGCTTGGATTTGTGATGCAGGAAATCTGAATGCAGAAAACTCATAAATGCAATTTCGCACTTATTTTTCTCATCATACGTCCTGCAGCATCAGAAAAATGCCGTATGAACATGTAGACAACAAGAAAAACATGATTTTCATCACAGTGGGTCTCTAAGGTTAAACTCTGAAATCATGAAGTAAATGGATGTTTTGATGACCTGCGTTCTGTCTTTGGGTTTATACGGATGGATGGGTACTTGGTTTCGTCCTTGGCGCCAACCTCAAGGGAGATAATGCGGCCTGTCCCTGCTCGTGAGCCGCCAAGGCCAGACTGTGTGAGACTGTCTACCGAAGATAATGGTTGGAAACGAGTGATAAAGCACAGAAATAGTGCACCCCAAGCCTCTATTTCCCAGGCACCTTGGAGATTTACTGAGTTAGGAAGGACGCCAGACACATAAGACATCTCAGCGTCCTCTGTTTACAATTTAATATGCTTTTCCAAAAGTTCCTAAAGCATGCATCTCTTATCGACTCATTTTATACCGTATTGTTGTTAAACCGATATAAATTGATCCGAGTATGATGACAATCAATTGTTCACCCAAGTTGTGGATCAATAAAGCCAATCCACATATAAGCAGGTGACTCTTGTTGGTGTATGTCGGCGCAGTAACACGCCAAATATCGATTTTAGAGATTCAGCTGCTGTCATGGCGACAGTAAAATGTCCTTGAGCACATGTGACTCCTCCTCAGAGAGTTTCACCGTAAGAAAGTAATAAAACCCCGATCTGCTGTGGATGACCCCAACCAACATGTAGACAAAGGAAAGGAGATTGTTTTTTTTTCTCTCCAGCGTGGATCAATACGGTATCAGACGGTACTTTGAAGGCATAATCCCACACTTGTGTTTTTTCCAAGGCTGTGTCTGGTTGTCTGATCCCTGCGTGAGCTTACATTAAAGACAACATCCAAAAATAGGCGACCAGGCAGCTCATTAAACGAGAGAAGGAGCGTAAAGGTGGTGATGCAGACTGCTTTAACGTAAAAATGAAAGTCTCAGTGCATTCAAGGACAAATGCTCTGGTTTGATATTTACGAATGCATGAGATTGTTGATGTTTTATGGTTATTATTCACATTACAGAGTTACTTATTATCCACACAACAGCCTTTCTTCTCTTGATTCCTCCAACACGCTTGGATCTACTTCCTCCCGCCAGTCATTCCCCCTCAGGGTTTAACTTTTCCTCATTGGTCGTGACAGTTTAGTGAGCGACTGTGCGTCCACATACTGATCCCTGAAGCTGTTCAACCACGGAGGTAATTCACATGACACTAGAGCGCAGAGACGGCTGAAGAAACTGAGCTTATACGGGGACGTTAGGTGTTCATTCGTATGCAACTCCAAACATTCAGAGCCTGTTTGAGAAGTAAAAGGGCACCGGGTTTAAGAGGCTGTCTTTCCATCCCCATTTTATGAAGATGATTTTACAAGAATGCCTGAAGTGAGGGTCGTCAAATTTTGGAAGACCATCCAATTAAACTGAAGGATGAAATGGGGTTGTCACTGTTCATCCTGGTCTCTTGAACTCGACATTTACACAGAAACCGGTCCACTAGAAAGCTAAATAAACACACTTACAATTCCAGTTTGAAACAGTAACTGGCTAGTGTTAACAATGCACAGAATAACGTAGTTTAATATTGGCACCGACACAAATATCAGTCATGTTATGAAACCTGCAGCTTAACTAAGGTGACCAAACATCCTCTTTTTTGGGGGGGCTGTCCAGCTTTGTCCGGGGAGTTTATAAAATCCTTCAAATGTCCGGGGTTTTGTACGGAAGTTTTCAGTTTGTGTAGTGTGGACTAACTGAGTTAGACGCGTGTAAAAAACACTTGACCCAACCCCGAAAACCCTCAAAATGTACTACACGCAACTCCGCCCTGTGTAGTAGTGTCTTCTTTTTGGGGATTCAGAAAATGGTCACCCCAGCTTAACCCAATACAGCAGCACCACAAATTATGAGCCTCTGAAATATACAGAAAAAAACAACACGCCTTTGTTTTCTTTGTCCTATTTCTAAACCCAAATTACAAGAAAATACATCTTTAAAAATGGAAAATGCTATAAACAAACAAAGTTTCTGTATTTTCTCGAACAAAAGTCCTGATGATACTAACGGTTCATATCAACCTCTTATTGGAAGCTGTGGCTGTTCCTTAAAAAGTAGAAAGTCTCCATTATTTTGGTTTTTTAATAATTAGCGGTCATGTAGAGCAAATCGCCACTAGCTTGAAGCTCCTTTGTGGCTCTTAGTCAGTGTCGGTGCCCCCTGCTGGCAGAGCAGTGTGCGTTATCTCATTGCTGATCGATTCTTGCACTTTTTAGGTGACCTCTGACCATAAAGATCTCAGAACTTCTACAGAAAAACTTGTATAAACTAAAAGCTGTGACTCACTTTGTCTGACACCTACTCTGCGTAAGAGCTTAGAGGCTTTAAAAACTACAGTATAAGAATAATTAGCCCAGCGCTAATGATCTTGTTTGCTCTTGCAGCTCATAAAAAGGTCCTGGTAAACATTTCCGCCTGCTTCATGACCAGTTAAAATCCCATCAAAGTAGCTTTAGAGCTTCACCTACCCCAAACTTAAAACACTGTTAGTCGTGTTGCTCCATCTATTAATATCGTCTTGTACCGTCATCCTTCAAACTTTATCCACTAATTAAACCTGGAAGTTAACGTTTCACTTCTACTTCCTTAACTCACAGGCCAATTAGAAGAAGCTCGTATGTGACAGAAGAAAGAGAGGAGCTCCAAAGAGAAAGAGGCGGCATCACTTTTAAGCAAACAGTTTATCGATTACAAGCATCGTTAATTTGAGGCAAAATTAACAGTGAAAGTCTGAACTAGTCGATAGTTTTTATCATGAAAGGAAACCTTCAATATGAGTAGAATAAATAACCTTTAAAAGTTATTTATATGAGACTTATTCAAACAAAAATCAATGTCAGTTTATTGCATATTGTCATGTTGGTTGATTCTCGCACAAACTATTTTAAGGTTCAGTTGTAAGCGTCTTGTTTTGTGCTGCTGCTGTCTGCTTTGTTCTGACAGGTGAAAAACCAGGAAGCAATTATGTCCGAGTCAGACGAGACAGAGATTTGTTGGACTGTTTGTGGAGCTTAATAATTGCTCCTTGTAATTGCCTTTAAGACGTATGAAAGCAGGTGTGACACTAAAGGATATAAATGATTGGATATGTCAAGTATGCTGACATTAATTACTTCAATTACTGAAATCTGGCATCTTTCCTCTGCTGGGTTAAGAGCAGAGGAACCTCTTACACACTTCAGTAGTATTACTTTATGAGAATGGAAGTGATGCACCCATTGTTGTTAGTTCTCACCAATGTCATTCAAACAAAGAGCTGCTCTGTATCTATCGGGTTATTTAACGCGGCGATTTTATTCATCGCACATACTGAAAATCTTCACCTCCATTAAAATGTTTCCTATTAACACGCTCCAATCGCACCGAAGATGTCACTTCTTACACCTTTGAGTTCTGGCACACCACAGCCAATTAACAGGTTAGTTTATGAACAGATAACTTCACCTCTAAGTTTAGTTCAGCAGGTGATACCAGAAGTACTTTAAAACCATTTTATCTACTTTTAAGAAATCAGATAAAGCAAAAAGCATTATCTACCACACTCTATTACGTGTGTCCGCACATATAAACGATAAGAAATGTGATTCAACTTGATGTTGTGCTACAACTAAATATATTTACAAGTGTCTACAGGATAGTTTTGTTTGTAATGTTACATGTTTTAAAAACTAAAATACTGAGTTGGTGCGACTTAAACTGGACTTTAAAAATACATTTGAACAAGTTCGTCTGACTGAAATTGCGCCAAAATTAAGTTGCTATAGTCAGAATAACAGACCTGGATGAAGTGGTAATGAAATGAGTTTTGCCAGCTGAAATATAATTTTGTTCCCATATAAATTTTCAACAAATTGCATGAAATATTATTTGATCCCAAAAAGTATAAAAGTGACTTTCCGAATATGGACCCCTTGAACCCTAGCTGCATCTTTTGTATCAACCAGCCCCCAGATTAGGGATGGAAGTCCAGAACCAGTTCCTGATTCCATGTTAAAACCTCCCTTATTGATGCCTTAGAGTCAGTTCCACATACCTCGCAATACAATAACATAGCTTATCAAAAGAGGCGGTCAGCGTGGACACAATCGAGGCGTCAAATCATAACAGACAGGAGTATCCGCTTCAAAGATGTGATGGTACAATGCTCCAATTTACAGTAAAATCCACTCGATCCGTGAGACCGGAAGCTTTCATCCAGGGGCTTTTCTATCTCACTGAGAAGGTCATTTACATAAAAAATGTGAAGATGAACTGATAATCAATACCAATAATATCTATCTCATCCCATCTGAAACCAGATCCAGTTTTAGACATGGGTATTTCTCATGAATCCTTTGCAATCCAGCTTGTAAGAGAGTAAAGTATGTGGTAGAAACCATCAGAAGCAACAGCGATTGTCGGTTTACGCTGTTCAGACGTCACGATCACAACCCTTCACTTGTTAGCCTCAGAGTGAGAAGCTTGAACTCTTCCCCTGCATGAATGGAAAATGAGCTGCTAAATCTATCAACCCCTGGCTATATTCAGGAGAATCCATCAATCCTTGATTTGCATTTTCAGAAGTGGTGTTTCCCACATGACTTTAGATGCTAATGCAACTCTCTCTCTCTCTCTCTTTTGCTCTGCTGTAAAACTCCAAATCATTCATGCAGCTGAAAGAATCTCTCGCATTAAGGCCAAAAGCGGCCTCTGACACGGCCTTTATTTTGCAGTTTTCTGAAATCAGTGATCCTATCCCTGCCAAAATGACATCAATATGCATTTCACTGGGGCATTATCTGCCAGCTGAAATAGACATGAGAAGCACCAATGAGAGTCGTAAACCCAGCAGTGAGAGCATCTAAGCTTATTGCCTTTTTCCCCACTGATGTCAGGAAAGAAAATCATGAAAATTAGAGTTTTACAGGCTACAAGAAAGTTCTTAAAGTGGTGAGTCATAATAGTTTACCTAACTAAAAAGAAATTAGAGTAATAACAAAGCAATCCTGGTGCAAATATCTCAATAAATCAAGCGCTAAATCTTTATTAATAAACACAAAATTGATGGTAAGGACTCGAGCACAGTCCTGAAGTTTAAAAACAGCCAACTTCAGAGGACATAATCCAGAATCCAATTGGAAGTTTATCAGCCGAGGTAAACAGCCGATGTGAAAATGCAAAAACAACCTTTCTGAAAAGTCATGTGTCAAAGCTTTCAGCTCTTTCAGATCGCCGACATTCTGTCGTCACCTTCTGAAATAGGCATTCACCGTGAAAACCCCCATGGAGCTAAGCTGGCTGAGATTCTCCTCGGGTATGTATCCTCAGCATTATGCATGCACATTGATCCCTAAGACCCGAGGCTCTGCTTCCCTCTCACCCTCCAGTTATGCCTTTAGCTTCCATTTCGCCTCCTGCCTTGATGCTAATATCAGGAGCGATGATTCAATCCTCTGTGCCTCCTCCTGGCTTTGGAGATCCTCAGTCTACGAATACGCTCGGCGGATTCTCGCCTCCCCACCACATATAATCACCCTCGACTCATCCTCTCCTTCCACAATTTAGGCATACTCATTGATCACATGGGGTAAATCTGATTTCAATGACAACATTACTCAAACACCAGATCCTAGTGGCCTACACGCGGTCACCCGTGGCTGGGATTTGTGCAGCTTCCCAGCATTTTTGAGCATGTGAAATATGAAAATGCAATTCACGCCAGTCCCCTTGCAGCATGAGTGGTCATGCAGGAGCAAAGATGGTGCGGTGAACATACAGAGCAGGACTGTGCAGCAGTTTTCAGCATTTTTGACAGTGTCAGATTCATGTTTCTGAGCTTATCATCAAAGGTATACAACACTGAGGGAACAATCTCTCAATATTTAACACTATGGCTGTGTGTTTTTTTTAATCTGCACTTAAAACAGACATGGCTCTATCGTGTAAATCACAACATGAGCTCAAAATGGAGTTTAAAACCGTACCGTACAAAGAGGCCACAAATATAAACACAATGTAGAGACTCTGGCGACCTCTCTGGGCCTGAGCTTACGTGAAATATAAAAAAAGGGTTCACAGCATGAGATGTCATGCAGGGAAAAAAGATGGTGCAGAAGAAAACTTAGACTTAGACTGGGCTGCAATTTCTAAATGTCCATGAAGAAATGAGAAAAACCTCGAGCACAAGCTGCTCAGTTTCGGAGGATTAACATATCTGCAATCAGAATTTTGTCTGTTTTATTATGTCAAAGGATTTTATCGATGCTTGGACCAGAAGTGAATAGAAAACTGTGAAATAAGATGCAGCTGCTTAAGACACTGCCTGTGATGAATGAAAGTAACTTAAAATTTAAGAGCGCATTTAACCATGTGAGAAAGTCTGACTCCAAGGCTGCTTTGGACTGGCACCTACCCCCTTACTCAGTCTTTATTTTAATGGTTTATTGTAGGTCCCAGAGTGATGTCTGTACTGATAAAAGTCTGTTTTGTAACCAGATAAAAACTCCTCACAGGAGCTTTAAGCAGAAATATTGTGCTCCAAAGTTCACTGTGTTTTTATGTAACTATTAAAAGTCATGGTGCCGAAGAAAAGTTGTAAAAAAAGAGAAAAGGAGGATAAAGTTTTAATACATAACAAAACTTACAGTCTTTTAAAATGTAATCAGGTTAGCCGCCAAGCATTATATAATAAAGGGTAAAAAGATACCTCTGTATAAACACATTACAACTTAGAAATACCATTTCTTTTTGTGCAAAGGGAGAAAAGATCTGATGCAACTATTCAGCAGGGGCCGAAATGAGTTCTTGACTTACTTAGAAACTGTTTGATAAAAAAGTACAATCCGCTTTTTCAACAGATCAAAACTAAGTACGGCTACATGAAGGTTTTTCTACCTCTTATTTAGTTTGGGTAATTACAGCACAATCCCAGTTTTTTTTTTTAGGGGAATTCTCGAAGGACTTTACTCTTACAGTTATTATAAGGCCTAGTCTTAACTAGATTTGAAGATTTCTCTCTGCACTTTTTCTTTCTTTAAAAGTTTTTATTCCCCGTGCCCCCCACCCCACTACAAAACCAGCTCCTGAAGTTTTGGGTTAAACTAGTTTTTCTCCCCTAACTGTATGAATTCAGTGGGCTGCTGGCTGGAATAAGGGTTAAAGTTAAAGTTAAAGTTAGGGGTCTGTGTCCACTAACGGCAGTACTTCAGCTGGTAGTGTCCTCAAGCTCAATATTAAAGTACATTGTTTGCATTGTTGCAGTCAGATCAGAAAACCTCAAACATCTGAGCTGAGTCTTAGTAACTCAGTATTTCAGTTCATGTCACCAAAGGAGAAGTCTGTGTGTACAGCCCTCATTAAAACGCCAAAAAACTGTCAGTGGAAACGAGCCCTAAAGCTGCAGATACACACTTTGCTTATAACTTTTTATACTGAAACTAAAAAAGCTGCTGCTATCCAAGCTAAAGATCATCCTCCCTCCACCAAGGCATCACAAAGGGATTCTTAAGTACAAGTACCTCAAAACAGGCCATGCTGTCAACACCCTGAACCAGCTGTCCTCAGACACCAGAGTGGAAACCCCGGGTTTCAGGGCTTTAAATTCCTCCTGTCTGCTTTACACAGAGTTGGTAGAGAGAATTTTAAATTCCAAAATCAAAACAGGGATCATATCTGTGCCTTGAACTCACTTGTTATATCTCCTGCATTTTAAAGACACCGGGTGTCCCTCATATTTAATGCATTTAGTGACACTCGAGACTCAGTAGAAATAAGAGAAAGTTAAAAACACTCCACTTCAAAGCCGAGCCGGCCCTTAAACGCGGCTCTGACAGGCAGAGGAGATGAATAAAAATGCACCGAATCTGCAAGCATCCATATATTTTTCAAGCCTTGTCACAAAGCTGGCTGCAAACTCTGATTTAAAGTTCCAGTTTTGACTTATTCACCACCTCCCTGTCTGGAAACACAATGACAGTCTGTAATAAAATACGGCAGACCTGATTCACTCAAAGGCGGCTGAACAATCACAGCCTCTCTTCACCTCTGTAAAACCCTGTAAAAAATGAGGTAGTAAGTAATAAAACATCTCCTGTGCTGTCATGGAGAGCAGCCACATTAATCCTCTGCCTCACGTGTGCTGTTTGTGATATACAGATTTTATTGTGATGTTACTTTTGTTCGTTTAATCAAAGATGAGGCTTCATCTTCATCATCCTCGGCTCTCATGTTGCTTTGTCACCTTTCTGCGTTTTATGTCTTCTTTTACTCCCCCATCTTATCGTCATGAGAGGGTGATGAATCTCTCTTTGTTCAGCGTTGTTGATTTTGTCTCTGCAAATGCAAAAATATATTTACCCGTCAAATTCAACCAACTGCAACTCCATCTGTGTCCCAGATTCATCCGTCATAAATGTTGAGCCTGCCACTGCGCATTCACTTCAAAAACTGCTCAATGTTTTCTATATGCATGACGCCTGTATAGGGACAGGACATGACAACACAATTAGACCAATAAGAAAGGCGCTTTTGGTGTCGTGGTGGTACGATTCTGCAACCCTGTCTACAAAAATAGTCAATTCTCCAGTTTCACAGCAGGAGCTGAATGAACTTTGCCTTAGTGTCATCTTGAACTGGAGCGTGGAGATGCTGACAGCTCATTTTAGGCATGTCATGCAAATCCAGAGCAAACTGCAGGGGGCTGCAGACCTTCGTCGATGTGTTTTCCATATCAAAGACGGGGGTGGATGATGCACATATCTTGGTGCTATTAGCGGCTGCCTCCTTGGGACGCTGCATAATTATGTAAACACATGCATGTTCCATATTGCAACATGATGACGTGCACAAGAGGTCGCAGTGCTGGGATCTGATAGAGCCTGTAGCTATGAGAGTGCGGGCCATCAGTTAGTTAGTTAGTTAGACGTCAGCTGTTTGTGTTTTGTCTGCTCCTTTCAGGCTGTGTAAGTCCTGTCCAGGTGTCAGCTCAGAAAGTCCGATTAGTTTGAGTCCATTGGAGTTGATTTAAAAAGAAAAAGTAACAGACTCGGCAGTGCGACTCGTTCACAGGATGATTAATGAAAGTGTGTTAATGTGAGAAGTGCTGATTGCTCTCAAGTTTCATGCAAATGAGGCTGTCAGCTCCGAGCTGTCGATGCCGTACAGTCTTGTAAAAGTGTGAGAGTTCTGTCTAAATATCCCGATAAGAATGCTGCTGTAAATTCATGGTTTTGGTTTGAGTTTAACGTCCCTAACTAGTCTGTTTGTTGCAGTGAGAACTTAATGTAACTGTGTGCAGAACTTCTGCTGTACTTTGTGCCTATTTGAAATTTAAGACATAAAAAAAAGAAGAAATTTGACCTTTTTAGCTCTCCCCTTCTTCTAAACACCTACTTGTCACCTTATGTGAGAGGTAAGAAGGCGTATCTGCGAGGAGTTGAGTAAAAAGGTGACCTTTCTGCACCGCACTGTTTTCAATTTTCTATTCTAAGGTCATGCTGCAAGGCTGAACTTCAGAGGACAGATGCGAGCTCAGATCTTATGTATTTTTTCTTTATCATTTTACCCTGAGCTGTCTTGACCTCCAGTTTATGAACCATAGCTGTGGCCCATCCAGCCGCTTAGGTGTGAAAAGTCTGACTTTTAATGCAGCAGGAAAAAAAAGCTCAACCCCTGACTGACTTTCAGTCACACCACAGGCTCTGGCGCTCTTTCAGGCTGGACTGATGTTCGAGTATTTCTAGATGTCCTTGGATGTTCACTGGACCCCTGTCTCTATCGCGGCTCTTTGAAGTCCTACTCTGGCGAAAGAGTAGAAAGAAAAGTGTAAGAAGTCAGCTGAGAATTAAGGTCAGAGTTAGTGAGCTTTTCTGTGGCGCGGAGGTTCTCACTGATCTCTCCCTGCCGTCTTTTATTCCTGAATATCAAGAAATATAATCCCCATGAGATAGAGGAGTGAGAGAGAGACAGGAGTGAGAGTGAAGGAAGGTGAGAGAGAAAGAGAGAGGTCACAGAAGGTAAAACAGGAAAAAAAAACTGAGCGGAAGTGAAATTGGGAAAGAGTGGAGAGAAAGTGAGGCTGAGAGTTGATTGTCGCCGGGGAGGATGGGGAAGTAGAGTGTGACGGCGGGGTTTGGGGTGCTGACTCATCCGTGGCAGTGACCTTGGCTGACAGAGGGAGAGGAGTCGTGCAGAATATCAATGTTTCCCCGGCACGGTGGAGCTTACAGAAGTAGGCCACACTTCACGTTATACTAACCATGTCTGACAAAATCGGATCTATCTGTTTTTTTTAAAGCTCACAAAGATTGTTAGAGATTGACTCTTTGGGTCCTTAACAGGCTCAAGTGTGCAACTAGTTAGATGGCTGTGTAAAAAGGTCAGTAAAGCTGGTTCTGATAGTTTTCAAACCACTAAAACCCTATATAACCCAAAGATAATAGTCTGTTGTTAGTTTTTCCATTCAAAGCTTCATTGCCATGCCAGATTTCAGAAGAACAAACTCAGAGACAAAGGTGGAGCTGTTTTGTCTGACTTCCTTTAATCAACTTGCATTGAAATACAGAGGAGCATCTCTTTGCAACAATTGACCTGCATCTCTATAATCAGCGTCTTCATTGTCATCTTACAAAAAGCATTTGAAAAGTCTACTTCAAGTTTTGGAATACCCTTCGTCTTGTAAACATATAACATCATCATAACATCTTCTTTTGATGTTAAAGGGATATTACGGCATAAATTTAAGTTGATTCTCTCGTAACACTGACTGCGCCCACTCTCCTCCAGCAGCCGCTTGTTAGTGGGGGAGCCCTGATGAGTCGATCACAGAGTGCAGCGGAGTTTCGCAGCTCAAGGAAGAACATTTATGATCATTACTTGATGGAAAATGCAATCAGAGTTCTTGCATTTCCATAAAGTAATAATCCTAATTTTTTTGTTTGTGGCTCCCCCACAAACAAGCGGCTGCTGGAGGAGAGTGGGTGAGTTGTGTTTAGTCTCTTTGCTAAAGAAATCAGGCAAATTTAAAAAGATGTTTGGTGGCTAGTACTATGGCTGGGACCCTATATGTCGTGTTGATGAAGTTAGGTGCTGTTCTGAGCATTATTTGTGGCTATAGAGTGGCGTTTTGGTTGAGGTTTGCACGTGGAGACATAGACTGCCATGTATTGCTATTGTGCGGTCGTTACTAAATTTGGTGAAGCAAGCGATCGGCCAACAACATTCATCTCTTGGGGGGGTGTCTAACTCGGTGTTACAGTGTGTTTCACCATATCTTAAATTTACACTGGAATATCCCTTTAAGTCCAGGGGATGCATCCTTACTTCAGACTTCAGACCTCCCTTGCTTAACATTTTTGCACATATTGCTCTTTGTTGTTTTGTTTCTATGATGTGCAAACAGACTAGATTTAACCAAACTGATTTCTTCTCTGAGACGGCCTGTCAAAATATGAAGATTATAGTAATTAATATCAGCAAAGCTGTCTTCACAGTCGATACTGTAAAAGAGTCACAGCAGCTCAGGTTCTCGTCATAGTTACCGACAGATTCTTCATAATGAACATATCTGAACAAAATACAGTCTGTCAGAGGTGCTTTCGTTTCGTTCTATTTGCAGACAGCAGCTCTTGTTCAGCCTCGCTGTCACAAGCACAGATCCAGGAAATCTTCCCTGCCAAAAGTAATAAGTCTTTACACACCTCACCTCTGTCAAACAGAGAACTCACATCCTGATAGTCTAATCCCGCTCTCTCTGCACATGGCTTCTTCGCATCTTATCAAAACCTTTTTCTACTTCATTTTAAATGTGCATTTAACTAAGATGTACTGCGGCTGAAACACAATAATCTGGGTTTAATAATATAATTTATTCCATCTATCTCAAGCACGTCTCTGGTTACAGTTAAGGCTCAGGTTATTGGGTTAAATACTGAACGAATGGTTATAAAAAAACACTAATGAAGCTACAATTGGCAATGACTCCAGAGGGTATCTAAGGATGGAAATATAGATTAGTACGGAGGAGTAATTATACGTAATAGTCCATAGGAGACTATTGGAGTTAAGTGGTCATACTACAGAGAATAAATCATTAACCATTTCAGCTTCAATGGACTGATTAGAGTTAATGAGCAAACATTTTACATCATCTGAAAAGACAAATCAATCAAATCAATCACATGTAAGGCCTGAATTTAATTCAATTTGTGCAATTCAGTCATCATTGTCCTTTTTATATCATATTATTATGAGTAATAATAATAATAACAATAGATTTTATTTGTAACGCACTTTACATTTGAAAACCAATCTCAAAGTGCTCAACGAAAACAAAGAAAAAAAAAACTCTGTCTGGACTCTGTATAAGAAAAAATGTATTTAAATGTTTTACAGATGATTAAATCTCCTGGAGAAATGATAAAGAGTTGAAATCATAGACTGCAAATAAAATGGACGCCGTCTGCCTCCTCTCTGGGTGAAGCCACCGTGAGAACAGCACCCTCTGGTGACAGGCTGCAGTATAGGTCATAAATCGCGCCTCCTCCAGCAATCCCTATGGAGCTGTGGACAAACTTTAGAAACTAATTACGCAAAATATACATGTTTTTCCCCCCTGGTTGTGATGTTGACATGTAGTTACTCTAAGACTGGTTTGTGCTTAAATCCTCTTTTTCCTCTACAGCTCAATTTTTTAAAGTTATTAGGGGGTTCATGTTTTCGATGATTGACACCTGATACAGCCTATGAGCCTACGAAGGTTGCGTAGTTCACCAAGAAGATACGCTGTTTGAGCCGAGCGTCATCACAGTGACTCTCCTGCTGGATGCGTACAATGCTACTGCGCAAGTGGTGGTTCCAGGAAGTGGAGAAAATCCCGGGAGCAATTCGGCTTCAAATTCGTATAATGACGGGAGGCGGAGCCAAATTGTCCATCGTGTATAAAGTCTATGGTTGAAAATGAAGGTTAATGCTGTGACATGAAGAATAAACTGAAAATAAACACACAACGGTGACTGCTCTTGGTTTAGGTGAATTACAGCAAAGTGGAAAACTGTCTAAACTGTCTAAATTAAAAGCTGAAATCTTCCTCCCTCTCAGATCAATAAATGAAAAGTAGTCAGAGGACCGCTTAACGAAGACACACAATCACCTTGTTACATCCGTTGTGTCCTTTTATATTTGCCTCGATGTTGGAAACCTCATTACAAACACTGTTAAGTTAAAAAAAACAGGCTGATGGTGCTCCTGTTCATGTTCCGGCTCGGTTTAGGTTTGGTCTGACTGATTTATATTTGGTACAGCCATGTGGACTGTGGGCGGCTGCAGCTTTTAAAGAGGCTACACTTCAGGTACATTATGTGTGTGAAAGCAGTCGCGTTTGTGGCGCCCCTCAGGCTAAAAGCGTCCTCCAGCGAGACACCGAATCGCCTCCAGCTGCCGACCCGCTGCTGTTATTGTGACGTCTGACCCCAGAGTGGAGGACACGCGGCAAAACCAGAATCCAGCATGGAAAATGTTCTGCTGTTGCTTTTGTTTTGCTTCATCATGCTTTAAAATGCTAATGATGTTAATGATGAAGTCTGTTCCCAAAGCTCACACATTTCAAAGCTCCTCCGCTATAAATGGATGGCCGATGTATCGAGGGAGGCTGTCAAGGTGAGGTCAGCCAGGACGCTGTGAGGTATTATTAGACAGAACAGAGATGGATGTTCTATACTGGAGCTCTGTTCCTCTCAGGGAGAATAATTAATGCAGTTTATCATGTCTTCATTAAAAACCTTGATACAATTAGCTCATAAAAAGAGGAGATTTTCACCTTAAGAGCCGGATTATGAGTCTGTGTACTTCAGTAAAACCTGCACCATCCCAGTGGGAGGGTTTTTGCGAGTGTACAACCTCTCATGTATAAATTTCATGAGTGATAGATTGAGAGGAACATATTTATGAAGCTTTAAAACGCAGTGCAGTGGAGGTTTCTCTTCAAAGTTACAGAGGGACTCACAAACAAAGTTCTCGGCGCTTCGGGGGATTTAGAAGTGCAAAGAACAAGAAAATAGTAAACACTTTAGAGAGGACTTATATCAGACACTGAAGAAAACACTCAGTCCTTAAACTAGCACAAAAGGTTAAGGATTCGTTTGCAATGGAAAAGAGTCGATTCTGTATTCACTCACTGCTTTAAAAAGACTGAACACAAGACAAACACAGATACTTGGAAAAGTCAATAATCCAGTTCATTTGTCACCACAGAGTCTGTCTCGATTTTGCTTCTCTGACACTGACTGTCGTCTCTGTGAACAAATTTTCAGTCCAACACTTATCTGAAGTCTAGTTTTGACTTTGGAGCAGCCTCAACTTCATGAAGTATGTTTGTTTAGTTTTCCTTTCTTGTCTCAACTTCCTGTTTTATTTTGTTAACCTCCTCCCCTGTGTGTCCAGACTGGTTTTACTTCCTTGGTTTTCCCTCCTTTTTTGATGCCCTCATTGTTTTCACCTGTTTGGTCTCAGGGTTTCAGCTCCTCTCTGTCGTGTTTCTCCTTGTATCCTCCCCTCCCTGGTTCCTCAGTGTTTCCCCGTGTTGGACTTAATTCTGTTGGATTTTGAGAGTTTGGACTTTGTTTGGTAAGTTCTGTTTCATCTTTTGAGTTTGTTCATTGAATCACTTCAGTTTTGTCGGCATCTTTAGGTCCTTACTTTTGTTTAAGTACTTTTAACTTGGCAGAGGTGGATTCTGATTGGCTATACTGAAACTTAAGCCTTTTTTTTGTTTGACTATTAGCATTTTTAAAGGTGACACAAGCTTGGGTCATGTTAAACAGGCTGCTGGTTGATTCTCTGCATTTCAGTGTTGGGAATTTTCTCTTGGTGACACTTTAAGTGGTTAAAATCTTGAGTTTGAGGTCTTAGAGGCACTATACAGAGTTTTAACTGGTCTAGAAACAGACTTAAGCAGGTTCTGCTGCCTTTTTAAGACCTCAAAAACTAACTGAATCCATTGACATGAAGTAGTTTAGAACGTAGGTGTCTATTTTGACTTTTTTGACAGTATAAAATCACTATTAGTGATTTCTTTCACTCTTAAAAGACAACAAAATGAGGGTTTTGTTTGTTTACATGTGCGGGACATGAGATAAGAGGTATTACATTGTCCAGAGGGGGCGCCACAAGTCAACACAAACCAAAACTTTAAGTTTTTGAGTTCAAAATATTGAAATGTTGTTGCTCTGAAATACCCTTTTTAAAGTGAAAATGAAAACCCACAGAACTCAATACAACAAGTCCATAAAGAAAACCCTGTGAGACTTTATTTACATGGACCAGAACCATGACTAAAACATTAAATAACACACTGCTGCTGGGGCTAAGGATCCTCAAAGTAGTTTAGTTAAACACAGAGACGTCAGAAGTCCATTAAAACATCCGAACAAAGGACTGGCTTCAAAGATCTGAACGGTTTTTAGTTAGTCCTTGTTCTCACCACAGTCTCAAGTGAATTCATGGTAGTGCCGACGGCAGAGCCAGACTTTTAGATCGGCTTCTTGATCTGCAGCCCCTCCAGCAAAGTCCAACATAAAAGAGGAAGCTAACCAAGATTCACAGATAAAACAGAGACAAGGGCGGAGGGTGGAGAGAGGGTTAAAAAGTACTAAGTTATGAAGAAGTTTAAGTTTGAACGCTAACTGTTGAGGTATAACTAACAAGACACCTTTCCTGCTCAAAGGGACTGTGTGGATGTTGTTGTTTACTTTAGTCACGCTTTTACTTTGCTGTTGCACTCTGTGGACCACCCCCCTCCATCAATAAAGTTGACCAGCTTACCTAAAGGTTTACACTGTCAGCTTTTTAAGCTCCTTTTACCGATTTTCTTTTTCACTCCTCATTAACTCACCCGACCATCGGTGGTTTACGTCAGTCAATCAGCTTACCGTCACAGTTAAGAAGAGCTTGCAGCGTTTTTGCTTTTCGCTCATTTGACTTGGTTACAGACGTAAAGCAAATTTAAAGAGAAGCCCAACACTTCCTACTGAAAATGCTTCAGTAAAATGACTGATTTTAAACACAATAAAGACTCGGTTACACTGTTTTTGTATTAAAAAAGCTTTCGGTGTGTCAGAGCTAAAACGTGTGTTTTATTTGCTCTGATTGAGACGCAGAGTTGTATATATTCATGTGGATGTTTTATCATGTAATTCCCACATTGAATACTTGATGGTGAGCGTAAAGATAAAGCTCCAGGTACAGATGTAATTCAAGAGCGTTCAAGTTTCTGACATTGCTCCTAGCGAGGATTAATCATTTTAGCAGGATCGGCCACAAACGCTCACAAACAAACCCACATGCTCTCTGTCGCGTACAAACACCGACTGGGCTCCCTGTGTCCGAGCCGGTCAGCGGCAGACCTTCTGACAGGCTCCATGTCTCAGAGCCGACGGCCGAGTATGAGTCACAGTCAGCGAAACGCATCCAGCACCCGGCGCGGCAAACATACCAACACACACAGCCAGCCAGTCCACAGTGTATGAGTCAGAACATTAATGCATGTGACAGGAGCAGCTCACTTGGAAAATTAACCTTTATTCCTCGGGGTTGAAGGAGAGCTGCTGGTCTGTGGCAGACTGTGCTGACCCGGGGAGAAGAGGCTTGTGTGGGCCAGGTTTTAGAGGGCTAACTGGAGCTCCAAGGTGTCAGATGTGGAGTGAACTGATGTCAGAGCGGCTTAGATCGCTAAGCCGGCTCATGATAAAGGAACTCCAGCTGCAGCACCAGACTGTGAAGAGAGAGACTGCGGATGTTTTAACCTTCCTCCTGTGTTAGCTTTTACCACCATGTTAAGGGTCAGTTTTGACCCATATCTTAAATCAGCTAAATCATCCAGTTTGGTTCTCATCTCTAGGTTACCTTGTTCGGCTTCATTATCCATGAAAATATTGCTTAAAGTATTTTTTGTTGTGGTCCTCTGGGCCTTTCTTTGTCAGTATCCTTCTCCCCCTCTGTACAGCACGTTTGTTATACTTCGTATTATACTTGGCGTATAGTCGGCCTATGTCTCGTTAGATCTGCCTGTCATGTACAGTACATGCCACTGTTGTCCTCCCTCTTTTGCTGCCATGAGGTTTTGTGTGTATTTGTTATGTGTCTGTTGCTGCTGTCCTTGCTGCTGTTGATCTGTTTTTGTACATGATGAGACTAAAGACAAATTTACACTTGTGGACAATAGACTAACTAACTAACTAACTAGCGTACTAACGTACATATGTACTCAATTGATCTCACATGTCTGGACATGCCCGACGTTGTTTTTTGTGCAGGGAAAAACACGGAAAAATGAGAATTTCCTTAATCTCACATGATTGGAAGAGGATCTGACTGTCAGTGTTATGATTTTAGTTTTTGCTCTGATTATTAGATATTGATCTAACCCGGTCAACAGCGACCCTAACACAACGAGTGCCATAATTTTAATAAGAGCATTTTATAATTGGGTCAATTTAATTATTTTGTTTTTATTTTGTTGACATAGAGGTTCCCGACAAATTCAAAAAGTCTTGATGCATAAAAGCTCATTTACGTGTTTCTTTCAAGCGTTTAAAAATCAAAAACACAGGAGGAGGATTAACGGTGTAGAGTCTGTAGATCTTAATGCTACAGTACTCATGCATTGTGTTGTTTTATCTAAAATGTGTTTATTTATGTGCTGGTAATTCTCCAGTCACTCCTGCACAATGGATGCAAAATGCTGGTTTTCAGCTTGTATTTCATGAATTTTACATCCCCATCAGATGCACAGTCTTGTTGCACCGTTTGAATTAAGGTCAGTTAGATAAAAACACTTTATATCCTTATATCTGTTAACATAAAGTTGATGCAAACACCCAGTAAGTAAAGCTAAAAGACGCTTTTCTAAACTCAGCGTCAGTGACTCACTTCAGACTCTGAAAACTCTGTTTCTTCTGCAACATATTTATGTCTCAACCTATTTAAACAGAGCAGATGGAGAGTTTAAAGGATCTCTGGTTAGGGTGAGGATTAGATGGGTGTCATCGTGGAGGGACAGGAAGACAGAGTCCTCAGTGAGCCTCAAACAAAAATAGAGAGACCCGCATTTGGCGTAAGAGAGTCTATGCAAACATTTCGTGGAAGATAAACAGGAAACATCACGAGCTCCAAATCCAGGATTAAAGTTTCTCCTCGAGTTTATTCTCCTGATATCTGAGTTTGCTTTTTGTTTCACATGTTGAGATCCAGAGGAAATTCTCGTCGGAGGTTGAGCAGTCATAAATAACTTGAGTGAATATGGAGTTGTCAGGCTTGTGCTGTGAACTGCAGATTTGACATCCTGTGCTTCTTCAGTTGTTGTGAACAAACAGAGCTGCTCTGAACCTGTCGCCTCAAAGTTCAGTCAGTTTGATGAGACGCCACGCCGCCGCCGCAGCTGCTGCTGCTGCACCAGTGATTCCCCTCGAGGGCGGAAACAAGCAGAAACTAATTAATCAACACTTCTCCAGTCACATGACTCGATATCATCTCTTTTCGGCCCAGCTGGAATCATCAGTAATTAGCGGCTTCACCATTAGCGCGCCATCACCGCTGCATTGTAAATGAGCCTCTCTGTTTTTGCAATCTTCTCATCGTGTCTCCCAAAAGCTCAGAGAAAGAATAAACACATGCCAGACGTCAGCTGATACCTTCTTTAATCTGCAGCTGTGTCCTCTGAGAGGCAGCTTGAACATGAAAGTCCTGCTGTCATGAGGAAATTCTAGGGCTGGGCGATAAACCGAAAGTTCACCGATACCAAAATTTACAAGAATAATTGACGTAATTTTATTTGGTGTCAAAGAAGTAAATAAATAGAAGTTGGTTTTGGATGTGTGTAGGTAGGCTATGGTCTCACGTCCCTTTGAGACGATGACTCCACCCCATCCAGTCCGTAACAAAGAGGGAAAGACAGGTGAGGAGATGGAGGACGGTTCAAGAGTTGTAGCGGCTGAAGTAGACGAAGTTAATGTGGGAGGGGGTGAGCAGCTTGTGGAGTAGTTGTCGTCCATTTATCGTTATCAAGGTGAACTGATCAATATATCGTGATATTGATTTGAAGCCATATCGCCCAGCCCTATAAAATCCCCAAAACAAGTCCAGAAACCCAACCCTGACACCTCATCAAACGGATGCTTCACCATAAAACGAGAAGGTGACGCAGAAATACAGTTTGCTCCTGAACAGTTCTACATACTGATTTTTTAACTATCATGATCCTGGCCTTTACATACAACATCCACTCTCAAAACGTGACTTTCCCGTGTTTTTAAACTGAAACGGCGTTCACCATCCTCCCTTTTCCAGCTGTTCTGGGGTCTGCGTTCGTTCCTCCTGCTCTGTGGGCCTGTGGGACATGTCTCCTTGCAGCTCTGTAGATATGGATTGAGCAGATATCTTCGCCCCTCATTGTCTTGGAGGACAAATCCTGGCATTGATGTGTGAACTGTGCGCCGCCCTGATAACAAAGTCGCCAATTCAGTCTCATAATCACTCTGCTAACAGAAAGAGCAATTCTCCTCAGCAGCAGCATGACCCCCAGGCTGCTATTGATTCTCTGATTTTTACCTCCGGGGAGTCAGACAGCTTACAGGACTGCAGCAATGTCACCCCAACTCAAAGTGTTATTGTATGTGAAGTGTTTGTGCAGAGTCAGTGATAGTCTGAGTCTCTGTGGAAGGTCTGACCTTTCCCGCACACGTTTGTCTCCACCTTTATTTTCCCATTATATAAAGTCTCTCCCTGACCGTGTGTCCTCTCCCTGCCTGGCTGATTTCATGAGTGTCAGGTTGTATCGAATGTCTGACAGGAGGTCGTCTTCATCGCTCTGGGTCCTGACCCTCACATGTGGGTGAATAAATTACCCGACTGCACCCTTGAACAGTCGAAAGTCAGCCTCGCTCATTATCGTCTGTACCGAGATAAATCCTACCTCTGAACGTGACGATTGTAGGAGTTTTGAAGGCCTCAGGAGCTGCAAAACCTCTTGAACAAAACTCTGCATCAAATGGAATAGATTTTTGTATGCATATTGATGTTTGAGTATACTTCTCCAGTTGCCAGGCAACCAGCAGAGTCTATAGTATGTTAGATGGCTGAACCAAACAAGAACAACATCATAGTAGGTTAAAGGGAGCAGATTCTGTGGACCAAACTAGGCTCTGTGCATCTCGCTGCGTCCAGGTTTAATGCTGAACTAACTCCCTGGTTGAGGTTTCTGTATAATTAAAACTCATAAATCAGAGCAGTCTTGGATTTGAATTCATAAAAGGAATAAGAATGGAGGGCCAGTTTGGCTTTAAATCCTTTACTGGGGTCCTATAAGTTTTTCAACCTGCTCTGTTTCCTTTTGCAGCTTGTTCGTCCTCTTTCTTCCTCTCTTCCTAGTTTCCTACCTCCTCACTGTCTTATCTTTGGGTACAGAGAACCAACCCCATGATTAAATCTTAAAAAAGGGACAAAGTGTTAAAGTCCTACTCCAATCTTTTTTTTTTTACGAGTTAAAGTGTTCTCAGTGGTCTTTAATTTGTGGTTATGAAGTTTTTTTTTCCAAAACCACGTTACCTGTGTCATTTTTAAGAACTTTTCTTCTGCAGAGCTCCAGTAGATCATTAGCAATTCGCCTCTGAGTCGTGGGCGGAGACAGCACTGCTCTGCACACTCCTCTTCACCCTCACTTGCAGCCTAACATTGCCGGTGTAGTAGAAGTAGCAGGTAACATAGGAGCTATTCAGTTCTTGGACACTAATGTCTTTAGGGACATGATGAAAGTTAATATCATAATTATCTTTCTTATGTGTATTGCAATCTGCTAACGCACACGCTTGTTCTGCGATTGTCCTCTCTACTTTTCTGAGTCTGGCCTGCATAGCGGGGCTCTGGGGGCGGAGCTTCGATTTGCTACATAGGAAATCTCACTGTGTCTGAACCTGAAGTTTGGGTCTGCCAGAGATTCACAGCGATTTGAATGAAGAAATTCTCAGAAATACAATTTCATGCTCAAGTTTCTCATGAGATATCCAGTAGCATCAGAAAAATGCGGTATGAACATGTAGACAACAAGACAAACATGATTTTCATCGGAGTGGGTCCTCAAACCCACGCCAAAACACTGTCCCTTTAGTGTCCTTCTTACTGTAAAATCAAAACTTTTAAACATGCATTTAGACTTTTGATTTTAAATTAGCCAGGTTACTAAATAAAGTAATTTTATTCAATATTTTCTAACAAGCAGTGAACAGATGAGGCTGCATGATTTTTGTCTTTGTAAAGACAATAAGTGGGTGAGATGAAAACACTAATGGTGGACCGTGGGACATTCAAAATCTGATATTTCTGATTTCTGAAAATTTCCTTCTCTCTAATATGTTTGTAAAATATACTAAACTGCACCTTTATGACAGACTGAAACAGTTTTTCGTTTCTGCGACTTCAATAACTCCATCTAAACACCTAAACTTACCCTAATTTAGAAATATTAGAAGACATATTTAAGTAATTTCACCGATTCTAAATCCCCAATAAATCAGCAAGGCAGTTAGAGCTAAACATCTACTCGATGCATATGTCAACACAGGCGTCAGTAAGTCACATGTCGTATGTCAACAACAGACCTGTGGAGGTTCTTTTATCAGGTAAATGGGGATAAACTGACTCATTTTTATTATAATTGAAACTGGAAAAACAAGCAGACAGTGGATGAGAAGGTCGGATTACCTGGTAAATAGTGAAAACTCGACAAATCCTCGTAGTGGAGTCGACCTCGACCATGGTTGATGAAAGCTGACTGAAATGCTTTTGCATAAATTGGCACGTTTGAGTCCTTGCATGGATGTGATATAGCATGAAAATGGATCACGTTATTTGCATAAATTAAGTGAGTAAACACAAACCGATGTATGTGTATTAAGCAAGTAAATAATTATATTTGTGCCTGGTGTGAACACAGGAAGACTAAAGTGTGAATAACTAATGAGCATAAAGACAAAGACTGAATCTCAACGTTGCAGTTTTGGTTTTACCCTGCAGACTAGAGTCCTTTTTGGTTGTTAAAATGTGTAAAACAAGAAGTCAACCACAGCTTAGGTGAGTCCAGATTTGTCACCTGCTCCCGAGAACATCAGGCTCCGGTGTTCCTTCCTTTAATTTCTTGTTCTAACAGCTCCACACTCTCAGAAACACCATGTTTTCTACATACTCCAAATACCCGTGTCTGTTTGATGCAGCGGTTTGATTTTCTCGTCTTGTCGAGCTGTTTGGAAAACTGTCTGTGGTGGGGTGGGGTGCGTTGGGGGTGCGTGTGAAATTCACACCTTGATGTTATTTTAGATGGCCCTTAGTGATTCATTAAACAGACTTTATGAGTGACTGATTCTCTGGCTTTCTCCTTCGCCGCCAGTGACACATTTAACATCCCCCCCAAAAATCCAGACACTTTCATCCAATTCACATCTGCAAACTAATTAGAGCTCTTTTCTCTCTCTGGCTGTTTTCGTCGCTCTCTTTCCAGGCGCCGGACGTCTTGCAGATGATTTATTTGCTCAGTGGCCGTCAGTGATGGAGTCTTTCTTTTGTTTATAGATGTAAACACAGCGTGCGTAATGTATGATCGAGAAAATGATGCCAATTCCTCAACGTGGAGGGATGGGAATTGTTATGAATTTAGCGATTCCGATTCCATTATTGATAATACTTATTCATACGATTCCTTTGCGATTCTCAATGAGTGAGAAATAAGCAAATCATACAAATGGGTAACACAAATTAAGCTACCGTAATTCAGAAGCATCTACGGTGGCAAAAGGATGTACCCCTTGGACCACAAATCTGCTCACAGCTACGTGACGTTTGTTTATCTTCGCCTCTGTCATTTTACTCTTCCCTGCCTCGATGAAAATGGCTGCCAAAGTTGCGCGAGAGCCATCCGCTGGAGCCTCTGAGCTAGCGTGACTCTGGCAGTCATCTTCATCCAAATGTATTTTAAGGAGATGGAGAGTATTTATATAGTCAAAGAAGGTTAACGTGGCGCTAACATCTACAGAACAGACAGGACCTGGAGGAGTTCAACGTTACCTTGATGACGCCGAGACGTTAGCTCTGCTCATGCTTTTGTCTGTAACAAACTCGCCTTCGCTAAGTAGCGCATCAAACACGTTACATTTCCTCAAATTAATTGCATGTTGGGTGGACAAATGTTTCCGCAAATTGGAAGTATTTCCCCCTTCGACGAATTTAAAGCTTTGCAAGTGTTGCAAGTAGGCACGGTATCATCTTTTCACGTGAAATACAGATGAACTCCGGAGTGCTTTTGCCTTGACGCCATGTAAGGGAGTTCTGAACCAAAACACACTTCTCCCCCACTACGTCATCACGCATAGAGACGCAAGAGGAACCGATAAGCAGAATCGTTAAGGAGGCAGTAAAATGATTCTTAGTAATCGAATCACTGGGAACCAGTTCTAAAAAAAAGAACCAGTTATCGATTCTCAACACATGCACGCTGAGTGATGTCCACAAACACACAGTCAGCGCCTTTCTTTATTTTAATTTGCAGAAGAAAGATTCCTTTTGAGAGAATAACACGGTGAAAGCTTCCCTGAATTCAGACTCAGTTAAAAGGGTATCTAACCCGTGACCCTGTGATCCACTAACAATAATTCGACCTTCTTTCTCAAGTGCCCGCAGCTGCTCTTCAGGAGAAACACTCGGGGGAGCTTCATAAAGCTTTTTAGCAGTCAGCAGAAGTTCACACTCCCACTCACAGCAGCCATGGCAGCCTTTCTCTCAACACCCACATCTCCAGAGCCTGTGCAGCCCGTGTACCTTCACAAAGGTTCACAGTGAGCAGATAACCGACGCAGCTCGGAGACCCTCAGCTTCGACACAGAGCTCCTCTATTCATGTTTGCAACACAGGCTGCTTTTCTCCCTCCATTAAAGACCCACATAGAAAGGGCAAAGAGTTCCCATACTAAGGGCTTGTTGTCCAAAATTGCTTCAAACTGTCACACAAATCAACCTTTAGAGTATTGATTCGCCGTACTTCTACAATATACTGCAATGCTTTCACACCGCTCTGCAAAAGTCTGATTCAAACTGTCTTGTTTTGACTTTAATCGGTGCACACAGTTAGATCTGAGATATCTTTGCACAAAGTAAATGATGTTGAACTTGCAGAAAATGTAAATTTACCACAAGAGAGACCGGGAAATAGTTTCTTATTGAGACTGATTCCAGATCTGGTAAAACCGTTATGGACTAAGTATTCTTTGACGGAGAAGTGTCAGGTCAGAAAAATTAAGATGCACTTTAAACTGGAGGATTTGTGGTGATAATACTGAGATTAAACAACATAGATTGGCAGTCCCGATATCAAAAGGCTGTGTGAAATGTTTTTAAAAACTGATTTTGATGGTCTGAGAATCATTTAAAACCTAATTAACTGAAAACAGTCTTAGATGTAAGCGATATAGGGGAAAACATTAATAACAGTTAAAATACTCTTTCAGGAACATCCTCCCAATAACATTCAGATTAGTTTGCAAATGGTTAGTTACATGACTCGGCAGAAAAATGTCATTTCCAGGGAGGTTGAGACCCCTTCCCCACATGTGCACAAACATTTGAAAGCACAGATACTTTAATGCATATTGACCTCCCATCAACATCCTCAGTTTACATATAAATGAAGGAATTTTGAGATTTTATCACCTATGGTATATGTGTGTTTACTGAAGGATTTAGAGAATCTTAAAAAATCTCTGTCCAAAAGGAAAAAGCCAAAAACTAACACTAGACGGCCCAGATCTTCAGGCAACACAGAGTTAAAAACAGGCGTGACTCTGCAGTGGAAACCGCTGCATGAGCTCTAAATCACAACAAAAAAATTGACTGAACCACAGACTGTATACACTATGGACAACTTGGCTCCGCCTTCCATCATTATATGAATTTGAAGCAGAATTGCTCTCGGTATTTCCAGGATTTTCTCCACTTCCTGGAACCACCACTTATGCAGCAGCATTGTACGCATTCAGTGGGGAGTGGCTGACAGTTGCTGTGATGATCTTTGTACACTCATAGGCTGTATTAAGTGTCAATCATAGAAAACATGAACCCCCTAATAACTTTTAAAAACGGAGCTGTACATAAAGTTTGTCCACAGCTCCATAGGGATTGCTGCAAGAGGCGGGATTTATGAGCTATGCTGCAGCCTGTCACCAGAGGGTGCTGTTCTCACGGTGGCTTCACCCAGCGAGGACGCAGACGGCATCAATTCTATATACAGTCTATTTATGGTCCGAACCATGTTTCTCATTGCACCCAAAAATGCAGGTTACTGTTAACAGACCCGATATAACATTATAAACACCTACATAATCTAATGCAACCAAATTCAACACCTCCATCACGAATCCTGCGACCAAACATCCACAGTTTCAGTTTTTCTTGAGATTAATTGCCACTTCGTCTTCAGTAATGAATAAAAAGAACAAATCTAGAAGTGAGATAACAGCATCCCAACTTTTTTGGACGTGGAGAAGTAGTTTTGTTTTAAGAAATACTTTCATTGTTTTATAATTCTGCTGGTTGCTGAGCTGAACTCGTCTTCGGTTTAAAATCCAAATCTCTCCAAACAAAAAACTTTCCAAAGAGTAAATACTGCAGGCGAACTTTGTGTGTGGGAGTCCTCAAACTGCATGTTAAGTCCACCACACACCAGTGTTATGTAAAAAGCCAGACAGCAGCCTGCTATGGACAGCACATTCAGTCTTTGAAAGCTTAGAATCAGCATCCAGGTAGGTGAGAGCTGACTCCCCGGGGTCATCGCCCGAGCGCTGGAGTTTGCTGGGAGACAGATGAATCGTGCCGTGACTCAGCACAGAAGGAGTACGCATGAAAAACTCCCGCTATCTCAAAACAACAACAATATAGCCTTGGGGAATCCTCTGTAAACGGTTCTTTAAGCCCTTCTGAAACTGTATTTAAAGGGAGAAGAATCAGGAGGAGCTTGTGCTGTGAAACTGAGTTCAGGATCAGAGGAAACTTTAGCTTTAACCTGAAGTAACCCGGACTTTTTAGAGGGTGTAAATATGTTTGTGCTCCCTCCTTCTTATGTTTGAGATGAGAGATCAACTCATACAAAAGCTGATCACTAATCAAAGGTCTCTGAGTTTGGGGATAAAACCTTAAAGCTGGTTCTGAAACATTTCAGCTCATTTGCATGTTGTTTGAGCGGGTCATCACGGTCTGATCAGAAGTTCCCGATTGGTTGAATAAGTTAAGAAATTGTGGTAAGCCAACTGCACGGTCACAGTCGAAGTAGGACCACGGGTCGATTCCTGACCATTAGAGCTTTATTTTCTTAATGTAAACTGGCAGGAAGCATTTAGAGTGAGACGCCAGACGCCGACTTTAAAGATGGTTAAAAACACCCTGAGCCCAGGCTCATTCCTGACAGATAAAGCACTTGTAGCTACATCTCAGTGTGTCCCTCTCTGTATTTTTCCACCTGTGGGTGTCTCTAACTTGCTGGCACATCTCCTGCCATCATTTCCGCCTCCTCATGTGCAACACTGTGCTTATTTTCTCCTGTTGCTCGCTTCAGAGCGGTGAATGAGGAATTTCCCTGGGACAGATTGTAGATGACGTAACTACAGTCTTATCTACAGAGTCGGGGCACAGTTGAATTCACTCTACCCCCCACTTTAGTCACCCTCTAACGGTCCACATGTCCTTCCCACCTCACTGCAGCGAGGCCAAATACCATGGGCTTTAAAACCAGGGTAGCATGCAAAATCGTGAGGGCATACATTTTCAGCTTGGCTTAGCCCTGCAGGATTCAAACAACAGAAACCCTGGCAGTGTTTGGGACCGAGGGCCGTTAAGGACGCTCGGCAGATGACGGCCAGCAGGACATGCAGCTTGGTCTGTACATACTGTATAGATGGCATACTTCAGTGATGCATGCTGAGAGACAAAGCAACCAAGGCCCACCATTTGAATGTGCAGAGGGGCTGCAAGGATGCTTATGTGTTACCAAGGAAACCAAATATATCACACTTGATATTGTCTAATTGGTGCACATCTGAATAAAATCTGCTTACAGTTGACATTCAGCCGAGAAGACGCTCTATATGAATCTGCACATGTTCATCTGTGATGTTTTGACATGATGGGCAGATCACATTTACACCAGCGAGGTCTGGTCTCTCTGAATTTTTGGCAAATTTTGCTCTTTAATTTTTTTTTTTAATCATATTTTGTCAACAACTGATGGATGTTTCTGCTGAGAGAAGAGTTTATTCAAAAGAAGAGCTTCTTTCATTGAGATGGAGCAAATCAGGATGACTAACCAATTTCCCTTTGGGGATCAAACTCATTCAGTTCTCTCAGTTTTCACCCAGTGCCACCATTGACCGCAATAGAAATGTTAGTATGTTTCAGGACCAACAGACTATCTTGTGCTTGGACTAGAATTAAGTGCAATACCTCAAAAGAAATGGGTGATTCTCTTCTTTCACCAGAAAAAAAGAGTTAGTCTCTAACCCACTCCTGTGTTTAGTTATTGCCTGCTCAATACAGCGTGGTCATATCATCTTTGCTGATCTGGAGAAAGAAACCTGGAAAAACACATTTTTACGGAGGAGTTTGACTTTAAAGCAGAACTCTGATCGTCTATTTCATTTCACTTTAAACTACTTTACCGGTGGTATTAAGGTCGTCCCTCCTCGACACCACTCCTCATCACTCTCGAGATCCAATAGTGAAAGATCACCTTGTGACAGCTGGGAGTCATATTGAACCTGACACCGTGACGTAAACCACATGTACTGCTCGTGTCCTCCTCTTTGAACTATCGCTGAATTAAGGCTCAGTCTCGCTCACCGGTACCAGCACCAACGAGACGCCGGAAATTGTTTCTTTGATTGCCGGCTGACGATGCGAAGGTCTGGTACCGGGAGCTCCACGACCAAGGTAGCCGATGTCCCGAGACTACTAGCTCTTGGCTAATGACTTCGGCATTTTCCTACTCTCCTCATAGAGAAAAAACACTCCACAAATTGGCTAATTGGCACACCTGATGGCACACTTCTCACTGGCGAGTACTTGTTTTTGTTATTGTAACATGGTTGTGACGTATTTGTCGGCTTTTCTGCGTTCAGAACGACCCCAAACTTAGTCTCATGTTGGGGAGGAGCGCCCTCTGGCAATAAAACTGAAAAATCCGTCAATGGCACTGAATGAGTTAAGCTCTTGTATTGTGTTGTATGATTGTATTTACTAACCTGGGGTGCATTTTTAACCATTTCTACACCGTGGCAAAGACAGATCTATATTCAAAAACCGCTCTAGGGGACAGGAGTTATTTTAAAAACTGACTCAAATCCATTTTTTAAAGTATCTACAAACTTGTGAACGCAGCCTGAGAATCTGTGTTGAAGGATTACTACTTGGAAAGGCAACAAAGTCATAAATAGAGACTATTTTTATTATTTCAAGTTGACTAAAGAGAGGTATAGCAGGAATCGTAAGCTCAGTGATTTGGATCCAGACACCTGCTGGTTTTTGTTCTTTCCAGCTAATCAGGGAAGTGATTCACACCTTTCCTTGGAGATGAGGTGGACGCTGTTAAAACCAATTAAGTGTGAAGATGGAAAACCAACAGGGATACAGGAGGGTGGTTTATTTGGGAAAAGGAGGGGTTACTTTTAAACTATTTTCAACACAAAATCAAGATTTTAGATGAAAAGACTGTTAAGACGGGTAGTAGGCTGCATCTCCTAAAAATGTGGTAGTTTCCTCCTGCACCAGCATGTCCTCCTGTTAAAGGTTAATACAGCGATATTTTTACATCGTCACAGCGGGGATTAAAGCTCCAGTCTTGCTGTAACCTTGAGTGAAATCTCTGTAGGCGTTGTGCTGCGGCACGTCTTTCATCTCCGAGGCTTTCAGCTCAACCTTGTGCCATATATCAGACAAAGTCACAGCTCTCATGCCTCCAGACCCCTCCCCACGTCTCAGAACCACAACAGCCTCACAAAAGCCCCCAGAAAAAAACATGTCCATTGTGCAGGGTGCAGAAACACACCTGCAGAGGCAGTTAGCAGCGAACAGTCGCGGTGTTGTGATTGATGATGGCAAACCAAATGGAGCAGCACAGTTTAATGGACCCACGGCAGCTCAGAGCGTGGTGGACCTAACTGATGAGCTCTTTTGTTTGTTTTTCATCCACAGTGGGACTCTTACCGTGTGTGTCTACCTCTGTGTGTTCGTGTCTGGGTGCAGAAACTTGAAAAGAATCTCCTAAACCTTCAAGCGTTTATTGATGGAGGCGTAATTAAAGCAGAAAAGCGGCAGGCTTTTCGTGCCAAGGTGACATATTGAAGAGGGCGGCCATTTTGGATGCTTGTCAAGAGGGTGCAGTGAAGGTCATCTGCTGCCTTTTGCCGTTGCCAGAGAGTTTCTCATTGTTTCCACTGAGCAGCGCGTTCTATCAGAGGGCCAGGTGGAAAATGAGTGATAATCTAAGACAGGAGGACGTCACGAGGGGTATTTTAGGGTAACAGTGGTTCCTTTATGTGAGCGGATACAGACATGACAATCATGCAGCCACAGGTGGAGAGAGGAGAGTAGGGAGAGGAGCAGGAGGAGGCAGGTGTCTGAAAAGCCAAGGGACGGAGAGAGCAAGCCGAAAAAAGGCTGTTCTGATCATAAGTTGACGAACTTACACCTGTTGGGCTAAACAGGACGACAATGATCCATATCCCAGTTCTGAATGGTATAGGGCTGAAACTAACAACTATTTTAATAGTCAACTAGTCGGATAATTAAGAATTTAATTTAATTTTTTTTTCTGCCTTATCTTGGCTAAAGTGCTCCCGAACTTTGGAGGTTTTTAAGCGTGCATTCACAGCTCCTGTATGGGAAGCCAGCGCCGCCATGTTTGAATACCCTACCACTCGACGGAGATGCTATTGCGCATGTGTGACTCTAGGCAGAGATTATAATGAAGTAAGATGCCTCACTCTACTGGAAAAAACAAGTTCGGTGACAATAGTCGACAATGGAATTCATTGTCGATTTTTTTTCTATAAGAATTTTTGTCAACGTCGATTAATCGTTGCAGTCCTAAAATGGTATGTCGGATCTGCATACTGTGATAAAAAGCAGTTAAGGTTCTTTTATTTTTAACAACACCATACAAAAAATACCCTGCTACAGGCGAGTTTTATCATCTCTTCAGGGCTCTGTAGTTTTAAAGAGTTTAAAAGTTGAGTAAATGTATGTGGTGCAGATTCCAAACCAAGAGCAGTCATGTCTCAATATCAATCAAAAATAAGCGTGATAATTATGCAGCCCTACTTTGAAATAAACAAAGGAGCGGTCTAAAAATACCTGCACCTCGCAGCTCATTACTCCGTCTCAGATAGCCTCTTAATAAACTTCATCAGTTTTTTTCTGCCTTCAGACTATCTCTGCTCCCAAAAATAGGTTTAGCCTAAAAATCCCACTTTTCTGTTCGCTGAAGGTCTACAAGAATCTAGTTGAGGAGAAGCGACTTTGGATACCTCCCACGCTTCAGTGTCGGTACAGAGTCATCGTGTTGTGTGTGTATATTTTGTTCATATTGAGGTTTTCACTTCACCCTGCAGTTATTAAAAAGTTACCTCTGTATTTAATCTATCCAACCCTCCTGACCCGAACTAAACGCTGTTGTTTGATGTTAAATCCTCATAAACGGACAGCGGAGGCCGACCCTGTGATGTTGTATAATGTAGGTGCAAATATTCAGGCCAGACAGATGAGTCATTTCCTCACAGCACAGTCGCTGCAGAGGTAGAGAGGGAGCCCATCTGTGCATGTGCGCCGCTGACGTGCTGCTGGTGTGTGTTTGAACATGCTTGTGTTAGTGTTTGAACCTCTTTGTATGTTCGGGTGAACATGTGAATGTGTTGTTTTTACTGCATGTGTCAACACCTGTTTGTTTACACGTGTTGCTGTGTTATAGGACTAGTGATGCACGATATGAAAAATTTCAACCGATACCGATAACCGATAATTTTCTTCTTCTCATGGCCGATACCGAAACCGATAACCGATAAATTCATATTTTTACATTTATTATAATCTTCATATAATCTGCAGTTTGTGCAGGATGCAGCGATTGAAAACTGATGTTTTTGTTGCTCTGGCCTATCTAGAACAACAAACAAAAGTTTTTGGCTCTTCAAATGTGGTCATTTGCTATAAATAACAATAACAGAGCAAAAAGCAGAACTTCATTTGATCCCCTGAGCTGTTCAACAGAACTGTAAACTGTAAAGGAGCTATTATGAGACGTTAGGCTTAGCATGCTGACCGGACTAACATCTGACGTCCATATGTCTGTGGTAAAACTCACGTGTAGTCCGTTCTTGTCGATCAGGTTGTGAATGTATGTGGCGACAATATCATAGAGTGCAGGAAGAGACACATCCGAGAAGAAGCGGCGGCTTGGGAGAGTGTAACGTGGCTCCAAGTGTGCTATTAACTTGCGAAAACCCGGGTTCTCAACAACGGAAAAAGGCTGGTCGTCGACCGCTATGAACTCCATCACTTTGTCGTTAAAGGCTTTAGCCTTTTCGCTGTCTCTTGAGAGGCTTTTGCAGTTTTTAAACGCCTGCTGAATGGGGACATCGATCCTCCGTAGTGTTGTTGTCTTAGCTTTAGTACCGCTAGAAGCTTCGGCGGCTGTCTCATATTCTTTTACTACCGCTTCGCCGCGATGGCGACTTTTCAGATGAGCTATCAGATTCGTTGTGTTAATACTTGACGTCTTCTTTCCTCCTCTCGGAATCCTCGCTGAACAGGTTTTGCATATAGCAATGCTGTTGTCATCTTCTGCCACTGAGAGAAACGACCATGCTGGTGAAGACATTTTATTATCTGTCAGGTAGTGACGGGGTCAGGCTTGGGACCTGCGAGTAAGGCGCGATAGATGACGTAACCAGCGCGTCTCGGACGGGCGGCTACTCCGCCTGCAAACGTTACTTGTAATTTCATTAATATATCGGATCTTTCTATCGGAAAAATGCACCTATCGGACCGATAAAAAATGACGTAATTTCCCCCCAAATCGGCCGATATTTTATCGGTCCGATAAATATCGTGCATCCCTATATAGGACTATTTCTGAAAAGCTGAATATGCCTCTAGAGTCTGAGCATACTTACACATCCACATCTTTTCCCGATGTTTATGTTTGCATGTCATTTCTCATGGACATGCATATGTTTATGGGTGTTTGTTTCACCATCATGAACATGGCACTAAGTTGATATTCGCAGCCTGGTTGCACAGACAGCCCCCAGTACATCTGCAGGGGTTGTCGAGGTTGTTGAGCAACAGCCGTGACTCAGTGATTTCTTGGACACGTTGCTTAAAAACTCACTTCAGGACCCAACTCGTGTGGGAGAAGACAAACTCCTCAGTTTGTGACTCTCCTGCTGTGGTCTCTGGTACCTTCACACCCTGTTCATATGTATCACGGCAGCAGTTGGCGTCTCTTTGCATCAGGATCCTCTAGGCGGCTCAGCGGGCCACAACACATCACTGAGTCCTTCTGCCCTTAGATCAGACAGGCCGGAGTGTGTGAGTGTGAGTGTGTGTGAGTTTGTGTCAAAAGTACAGCTGCTGACCCTGACAGAAAGTTCTAGATACTGCTGGGCTAAAGGACCTGCTGTTCTGGCAAGTTCTGCTGCTCTCCATCTGTGCACTTTTGCAAAGTCAAGGCCTTTTGAGTGCATGATACCAAAAAACTGAAACTTTCACCGTTAGACGATCACAGATACGTAGATAAATGCTCAACTGCAATCAAAATATGTTCTATTTTTGGAGACAAGGTCGTTAAAAATTACATTAAATCTTTAAAAAATAAGATGCACGATTATTCATTTTGATAAAGGGAAACTTTAAGTGTGCAGACCTCCACCAAGAACATAGTCTTCTGATATGCAAATCTGAGAGCCGAGTCTTCACAAACAGTGCTGAACACCTGCTGAGATCCTCAGAGACAACTTTCCCAATTTTTACTCTCAGTCCTGCAGTTTTGTCAAGACTGTTTTTTTATACAAAAGTTTGAACTGCTATCCATTGTTCCAGCTCCAGAGTCCAAGTCTTGGACTCTGGTCTGCTTCTCAGGACTCGAAACTCGACTCGGACTGAAGTATTGACAGTTTCAGAGCACTGACTAGTGATTTAGTTTAAATAAAGGCCTAGTCCGTGTGTTTTTCAGCATTTGCATTTATGGGCTATTTTGTTCCTCTTTGGATAAAGAGATGATTGTGCGTTTTGCTTAAAAGATTTTGCACACGCTGCAGGTAGGAGTGATGCAACATGTTGGATATGCAAAAGACCCGTTTAGGAAAAGTTGAGGACAAACTTAAACTTGAACAGGGATGTGTTCAGGTGCAAACTGTAAATAGGGAGAGATGCTAAAGTGACCTGGACTGTTGATAAAGTTACTGGACTACAACGCTGATGCTATCATTTGCTTGTTCCCCAGGCAGACCGACATTGAATCTATATCTGCTCTGAAATGTAACTGGACAATCAATGCCAACAAACATAAATCAGAACGTCCGTAATAAAGTTTAAAAAAAACGTATTTTTGTTGTTGATTTCGACGTTTCTCAGTGTGAGTCTGTCCGACATCTTCAATAAAAATCTACAAGCAGGTCATTGTGGTAATTTCTGTAACACAAATAGGAAACAACAGGAGACACATCAGCAGACAACAGGAGATTGGCTTTTCGTGGGTTTAATTACATTTGCATATGCAATCGTCCGCGGTGACCAGGCGCCAGAGTGCCCCAGCTGAACGCACTCAGAGGTTTTCATGAGTTGGTCACTGGACTTATAGCCAGACCTGTAAACCCGGCTTAACCTCATCTCTGACATGTTTCCTCCTGCACTGAAATAGCTCTAGAGTACGGCATGTGTATACTCAATTTTAAGTTGTTTTGCAAAGTGCAGGATATCATTCCAACAGACAGGTCCATGTGATCCAACTATCTCCATATCCGCTGATCTACTCCACAGCAGAAGTGGCTGACGTTTGTATGCTAAGTGCCATTTGTCTACAGCGGCAGCATGCCAAAGGAGGATAAATTAGGCCTCATCAGTTATTTTCTGAGGCAGTGACTCATGTCATACCTGCAGGAAACCTTGGCAGCATTTCCTGTCGGTCCATTAGCTTCTCATGTAGAACAGCAGACGAGTCATGCTTTTATTCTTTAGATGTCTAGAAAGTTTGAGTGCAATCATTTATGAATCCCAATCATATGAATTTAAAGATGTTTCTGTTGATTTTTTTTCTTAAGGATCAGGCACAGAAAGGCAAAAAAGAAGTAGGAAGGAGGAGGTCATGGCGCTATTAAAAGAGGAGAATTGGGTGTCATGGGTGGATTCGGGGTGCTCCAGCACAAGTGGGGACTTAGGACTTGACTTGGAAGTGACTTATCTGCAAACAGTCAGAACAGTCAGCTGGCATTTCTCGTGTGTCAACTTAGGACCGGGTGATTATATGATCGTGACATATTTCAGTTTGATCACGATGATCAGCTGTGAGCATATTTACTCAGCCAATCAGAGTCGTGCTTTTCCTGCACCACTTCTGTAAGTTACCAGAGAAGTTTAGAATGACCGAACATGGAGCTAAACGCGGAGCTGAGGGCAGGAAAATAGATGTCAGCCGTGACTCAGTCATCCTCCGAAGATGCCATCTTTGTGTGGCGTTGGTTTGGGTATCTCCAAAGTGATGTCGACCTATTAAACCGATGTGCAAGGTATGTCGGCGGTCAGTGCCCTCAAAAACCAGCAATGCAACAGATCTGTTTAATCATTTGAAGAAGTTCTCTAAACACTGTACACTAGTTTACTGTATTATTTAGTATTTATCTACATTTGTTGTATTGTTGAGTTAAAATATTCTTTTTTTTTTTTTTAGTTTATCTCATTCAATTCGCTCAGTATGTTAATAAAATGTTGACCTAATCTCCAGTTTCTTCAGTTTTTAGTACAGATGCTTTAAAACAGGCAATTCGAACAAAAAGTAATAATTATCGAGAAAATATCTTGTGACAATTTTTCTGCCAACTCGCCCAGTCTTATGGCAATTTTTGTTGCATCTCCTGTTTGACTTTTCTGCTCAGAAATCTTAGGAATTAATAATGAATAACAGTTCCCTTGATATTTAAAGCTTTTAGAGACGTCAGGAGAAACAAACAAGACAAGAACAATAAACCATTCAACCCTCTCGTATACATTACTGCTTCCCTGTGTAATCCCACCCAGCTGGCTGGATCCTGCTGGAGGGATGCCAGCTTGTGTTGTTATAGATTCTTGGCATTGATCTCATGAGTGTACATGCTGTCCGCGCCCAGCCAACAAACCTGTTAGTAACGACACCCTTCGCTGTTCGAGATAATGGAGTTGTGAAAGGCTGCTGTCCTGTTTCAACACCACAACAACCTTTTGAAGCAGCAGTGCAAATTCTCATTTAAGAGTTGTGCAAACTTGCATCAGAATGCCGCAACACCCGACACAGCCCAGGTGAGAGCAGCTTCACTCCTGCAGGATGATGAATGATTTATTGAGCACTGCAGGCATGTGCTGATGCATTATATCCTCCCATCCCTTTCACCATAGAGGATAGTTAGGTGTCCTGCAGCCTAATTGTTAGCTATTAACTGCTTTCTAGGTCAAAGCATGAATCAATAATAAACAGCAGAGCCTTTAATGCGTCTCGGTGTCTCGCACCTCCCCTTTGATGCAGGTGGGGTATTTAAATTCTCCAAACTCCCCACCGAGATCAGAAAACAAATCCATTTGGAGACATGGGTAATTAGCACCATGAAGAAAAACAACTGATGTGTTTGTGTGTTTAACTTCAGAGAGACTCTTTTGTCTGCAGAGACATCTGAGCGATCGAGCTTTAAAAGCTTGGTGTTCTAGCCGTAAACTGATTACTAGTTTTTGAGCTTTTCCAACAATTCATGCTCTACCAGTTAATTACATAACCTGCCACATGGCCCCTAATGTCCCTCAACACCCGAGCATCGAGGACAGATGGGTGGGAAGAGCCAGAACATCATGGGTAATCAAGTAGGCACGTGCCTCTCTGTACTGGTGTGGATAGAGGTCGGTCCAGATCGACTTCTGAATATAAGAGAGAAAAATGTCTGAGGAGGCAAGACCGAGACGCTAAGGCGGAAGAACTACTGCGTCCTGGGGAGCCCTGATGAGTCGATCACAGAGTGCAGCGGGTCATTTTCTTGAAGTAATAATCACCATATTAATCATTTTGCACTGCAGACATGGGAGTTCTTCTGCTTTAGTGTTTCAGTCTGATTGCATTTCCATGAAGTAATAATCATAAATGTTCTTCCTTGAGCTGCGAAACTCCGCTGCACTCTGTGATTGACTCGTCAGGGCTCCCTACAAACAAGCCGCTGCTTGAAGGAGAGTGGGTGGGCTGTGTTTAGTCTCTTTGCTACAGAAATCAAGCAAAGTTAAAAAGATGTTTGGTGTCTAGTACTATGGCTGGGACCCTATATGTCCTGTTGATGAAGTTATTTGCATTATTTGTGGCTATAGAGTGGTGTTTTGGTTGAGGTTTGTTTATGGCTCCTCAGACCGCTCTGTATTGCTATCCTGTGGTCGTTACTAAAGTTGGTATAACTAGAGAAGCAACATTCATCTCTCAAGGGGGTGTCTAACTTGGTGTTACGGTGTGTTTGACTGTAACTTGAATCACGCCGGAATATCCCTTTAAGCTCTCCCATATCCAGCCAGGGTGCACACTCTACCTCCAAATCTCTCGTCTGCATGGGAGAAGAGAGGCGAGGGAGTCTGTGGAGAGCCAGGTAAAAGAGGCGATTTGAAGTGTCTACTCAGCTCATGTTATTGTGACGCTCTACATATACAGGATCCATCACACGCAGACCACATCAGGAGCTTTTCATGTTGGGTATAACAAGATTTGATCGACAGCCACAGTGACCACATGGGGATTCCCTCTGTGCAGTGGGTGGACGGCCACGTGAGGCTGTTGTGGTGGAGAGAACCCCTCGGTGATTAGAGGATGTCAGTCATTTTTATTATGACATGAAGAAGAGTAATTGTTGGGCGCTGTGAAAGGTCTGTCAGAGAAAAAAGAGGTTTAAAAGACGTAATATTCAACTGAAGATATAATGCATGCTGATCATTTTGGTTTTTACAGTTTTTGTGGGTCAATCCAGTAAGATTCCACTCTTGCAAGTTTTTTTTTCCTTTTTCATCTTGAATGGACTTGAAAAGGACAGAGCTTTCTCTGGACTTGGATCCAACTCTCCGGGGAAATCATGGGAACAACACTGCCAAGAGTGGAGGATTTTGACTGCGCTGTTTAACCAGCATTAACAAACTGATCTCCACTTTGACCATGACTCATACAGTTACTGTGGAAGGGCAAGATTCCCCGCAACAGTCCAATAACAACCTGGGATAACAGTGAAAGCTTTCCTTTTTAACAAAACTCCTGACTGCTGAGGACTCAGGAGGTTTCAGGATTAGACAAAACTAGATCTTTGGGTCACGAAGACTTCTCAGGTCCGCGATCTATAACTTTAAAATCCCTGCAGCTTGGCGACTGTCACTCTGCCGTGATTATAACTCAAATGACACACATAGTTCAACACAAACACGCTGACCCTCAGGGAGAACTGCTGGACCGTGATGACATATAAAATATCAATAGATCAATCATCTTCAGACTGGCACCTTTATTAAACCTGGAGGCCTTGTGTTTGTGAGGATAAGGACTCAGGAGAGCTGGCTTTCCTAACCTCTCTGATGGTGCTTTCGAAGAGGGTTACAAAAATCGTATTTTAGGGTCGGATTTCACAAACATATCATCAGATCTTAAAAGGAGCAAGATAGTTTAATGGACAAAATGAGCCACGAGATTAAACACATTTGAGAAGGGCTGCACAAATTATTCAGTGACAACTTCACCAAACTTCACTTCAAAAATAAAAAGTTTTTCTATCATCTCTCAAAACGAAACCACTGAAAACGATCTTGTACATATGCCAAGTCAGTAAGTGGCGCTGTAACGCTGCACAGGAGATGCACCAAAGACAGAAGAAGAGTACAGAGCATGTGTATAAAGGTTGTTTTGGCGCCATAAAAGAGTTACGTTGTGTGTCACATGATCGTTTCCAGAGATGCAGATAGACATCTACATGGACATGAAATGGTCGTCGTTTACAGATTTATAAACTCTCTGACCCGTTTTCAAGAAGTCCCATTTACAGTCACCTGAAACGCCGTTTCCATGTGGATGAAATTCCGATACGACAAAAAACTTTAGCGTTTACTCCTGAATTCATTTCCGTGGTGACGGGTTGATACCACCTTCAGACAGACTTTGCAGGGGGGAGTGGTTTACTCTTCATCTGAAACTGTGAGGCTGTACCAATTCAACACAACTGACTCGCTTTTGTCCTATTAAGCCACAAAATTATCGCCTTCATTTGCCATTTGCCAACGCCATGTTTGTTTACACTGGTGTGTGTGGGAACTGGAGAGCACATCCACAGGCAAGAGGAGCCTACGTGATAGAGAGGAAAATCGATTTGACGATTTTGACGAATATCATCATAATCAAATAATCTGATTACGATTTAAAATCGATTGATCATGCAGCCCTACACTTCAGTGGAGGATTTGTTCTAACATCTGTGGAGTAGAAGCAGCTCAGAGAATGAAATGTAGATGAAAAAACAGCAGCGTTCAATCATCCCAACCATCTGAGTGAAACAATGAGATACGCATCCAGCCAAGTGTTTTGATCGAGGTGTCAAACTCTTCAAAAGATCCAAATGTAGTCGACTTCAGTGTACTACTCATTAGATTAGTCCGCAGAGAATACTAACGGGCAGCTTCATTTCTCAAGAGGACAGTGACTGAGACATGTGAGCTGAATCAAATGAAAGCATCACAAAAAGGAGCAGGCGGCACAGTTAGGTTTTTTTTAGGTTTAGTTTTTGGGCTTTATTTGACAGGACAGGATAGTAGATGGAGCAGGAAGAGGGACTAGGATCAAAACCGGGGCACCAGGCCCGCTACGCCAAATTTCATTTTTCTGTCAAAGAAATATCTGATGGGTATACAGGATAGACTCTCAAGGACCTTATCCCTGATTTAAAAGCTTTCATTACCATGACAACCACTGACACGTTTGGTTAAAAGTCATCGGACAACAGGGTCACTCCTGGCTGCTCTGAAACGGCTGTAAACCAGCAACTGACCACAAGACCGCCAGACCTTTGACGCTGGTAACCTGGTAACCGTTTTAAATCAGCGGTCCAGGATGGTCGAGGTCAAAGGTGCTGCTGTTGTCAAAGTGTGCGCGCAGGTTAAGCCGAGGGACATGAGCTTCTAATGGGTCTGTTGACTTATCGCTCTTTGAACAACAGCGGTGAGAGCGTCTGTTGAATTATAAAAGTGTTGCTGCATCTTGAGCTAATTCCTGGTTAACAAACGATTTTAAATAAAATATCCTGTTATGTTATCGCTGTCCTTGGTGATCCTCTCCACTCTCACTGATAAAAAGCACCGTGCTGTGCGGCTGAGGTGTCTTAAGAGGGCAGATATCATTACAGCACATCAATTTATCAGGATTACACCGCCTGCCTTCTCGGCTCATTTCTCTGTATCGGGTTAAAATGGGTTGATATCCGCCATAAAACATTATTCTTACATGCCAAGTCAGCCGAAAACCAGTTAAGTGTGAAGAAACTCATTTGAATTGCTCACAGAGGCTGCCCACCCGAGCGCAAAGAGTTTAAATGAACTCCAGCAGGAAGCGTGTGTTATATGGAAAATGCATGTTCTGATATCTCAGCCCGGTCGCCTCTCGACAGGAGGGTCATACATGTTTGCAGACAGAGGAGAGCAGAGAAATGCACAAAGTCTGCAAGTTATTATTGAAAAACCAACAATTGTGTGGTGTGTGTATGTGAGGCTGAAGGGCATTAATAACCCGCTGTAATCTCACAGTCACCGCCGCTTCATGTGGTCATATTTCCATCGTTAAGTCTTTTTATAAAAAGAAGAATTAGAAAATTTACTATCTGTATAAAGGCTGTGTGTAGAAATCAGTTTCATTGCTCTTTTAAAGACAGCAGGAGGACCGAGGCCGCGCCTGCAGCCACGAAAAACCACAGTCCATATCAGCCTCATTAGCACAGAGTGGACGGAGCAGAGAGACGAGAGAGAGAGAAAGTTACAAGGAAAGGGAAGAGGATTAGCAAAGATGGACGACATGCAGAAAAAAAAGCCTATTAAATCACATTCATACAGAAAAAAAGAGTATTTTATTACACAAAGAGAAGATGGATCTGTATTCAGAAGAAACTCTGAACCCAAATCTGCACACTTTTTTTTTCTTTATTGAGGAATAAAAACAAACAGCAGCTCATTTACCTAAAGGGGGTTTAAAGGGTCGCACATGATTTATATATCTTCATATACACATTTATCCTCCAGGGCTCTGCAGCTAATCCTAATTAATCCTTTAGGATAATTATGTTTTATCTCCATGTGACCGCACAACCAAAGCACACGGGATTGCCTCATTCTGTACACGACACATGACTTTTTCACACTATCAATATTAGTCACATCACTTTACAGTTAAAGCATGTTTCCACGAAGGGTGGCTGTAATTAAAGCCACATTTGCGTGTACACATAAACGCCTACTCTTCTTTCTGATCAGAGTCGATCGGATGCGTTTAAGAAGTATTTAAGGGCAGTTTTGTTCAGCAGCAGCTACTTTCTCGTTTTTATGAGGGAAGAAAGCTCAAAAATGAGAGCGTCTGTTGAGAGATGTTGGGAAGAGGAGGCGGAGTCAGTTAGACTGTACGCTCCACTTTCCCGCTTTTCCTTTTAGCTCCAACTGGCAGTTTTTCTCCTCTTCCAAATCTATGGACCTCTGACCAGCACAGACTGGGATCTCCATCTTCAGATCAATACCAAAAAAAAAACAATCCAGTATTGAAATTCATTCAATAGGCAGCTGCGGCCTTAAGGGTCTGTTAGGGCTGCACGATTAATCGATGTTAAATCGTAATCGGATCATTTGATCATGACGATGTTAAAAAAAATTAAAATTGTCTAATTGATTTTCCTCTCTATCATGTCTCGCGACTGTTACCCCCCAAAGTTCCCACGCACACCAGTGTAAACAAACATGGCGTTTGCAAAAGAAGGCGATAATTTAGTGGCTAAATAGGTCAAGAGCGAGTCAGTTGTGTGGAATTGGTACGACTTCACAGTTTCACATGAAGAGAAAACCACTCCCCGCTGTAAAGTCTGTCTGAAGGCGGTATCAACCCGTCCACACGGAAATTAATTCAGGAGTAAATGCAAAAGATTTTTTGTCGTAACGGCGTTTCATTCACACGGAAACGGCATTTCAGGTGACTGTGAATGGTACTTATTGAAAACGGGTCAGAGAGTGTATAAATCCATAAACAACGTCCATTTCATCTCCGTGTGGATGTCCATCTGCATCTCTGGAAACAATAATGTGACACACAGCGTAACTCTTTTATGTCAAATCAACCTTTATACACATGCTTTGTACTCTTCTTCTGTCTTTTGTGCATTTCCTGTGCAGCGTTACAGCGCCACTTACTGGCTTCGCATATCCGCTACATCGGTTTCAGTGGTTTTGTTTTGAGAGACGATAGAAAACCTTTTTATCTTTAAAGTGAAGTTTGGTGAAGTTGTCACTGAATAAAAAAATCGAAATCGGTTTAGAGTCAGTTTAGAGTGTAGCTTTGCTGTTAAGATGCCTTCGAGCAAAAACACTGAGATGCTTTGATTAATTGAGAATAAATCGTACCAATGAAGAATAAGTTAACCCTTCTAGATGGAGTTACTGAGCTTATCATGCAGCTAAAGCAGTTTCAGGAACACTTGGCTTCAAATGTTCAGTTTTAATCCTGATCGGTTAATAATTTCCTGCAGGAGTAAGTGTTGCAGCTCTCTCAAAGAGAATGGCACTTTGACAAAGAGGGATGCAGATTTCGGGTTGATTGGCAGCAGTGTGACTTTTCTGCAGACTGACTCACTGTTTCTGTGCGTCCTCTCCGAACACTCTTTAAAACAATCCTGCTCTCTGTTTGTCTGCTTGCAGACTGTTTGCAGGTGTGTGAAAGGTTCAGCTGCAGGATGCTTCATCTGGGGAGGACTGAGGTTTTCTTGGTATCACACTGATGAACACTGCCTATGTTTGCATGCTTTGCGTTGTGCAGAAGCCGGCTTCAAATTGATGTTTTGTCGAGGCACTTTTTTTGCTTTCAAGCTTCTTGTTTTCCCATCTCCCCTAGCATCATCTTTTTCTCCTTAAGACTTTGTTCTACCTGCAAACACACATTACACTTTATAAATGAATCCAACTAAAGCGATCGACTAAAATCCCCTCCAAACACACACTCCCTCTGTCAAGCAAACGCTGCATCTCACACACACACACACACACGTTTCGGCTTCCCCTGTGGCAGCCTGATTGAGGTTTCCGTGCCTCGCCCTTTAGATTTACTGTAATCCTTAAAGGGTGGAGGGAGTAAAAACAGAAAAGAAATTACAAATTGAAGGATGAGAGAGCGCAGAGTGGATAGAAAGAGTAATGGAGTAAAAGAATTGAGGGTGAAAGAGGTGGAAAAGGGAAGGTGGGAGGAAACATAACAGAGAGGATGATAAGGTTGGGTGATAAATAAGGGAATGAAAAGAAAGAAAAGGAGAGAAACGGCAGGACTGCAGAGGACAGAAACATCTCCCATTAAAGGGAGATTACAGCCTCTGCGGGCCGAGAGTGCACTGAGACTTTACAACCTCTGCCTTCAGCTGCTGATGATATAACACCCAGTTTTAAAGATCAATTTGTCACTTTTCATCTCCTCCTACACCTCATTCTCCCTCATTCCCTCCTCCTCCTCCTCCTCTTCCTCCTCCTTTCCTGCCAAGGCCAAGGCCGGAGATAGCAGAGGTGGAGGAGGGGAATGAGGAAGATGGAGGAGGAGCAGTGGCTGCAGCCCCACAGAGAGTAAGAGCAGAGTCTTGTATTTACGAGCACTTTGGATGATGTCATGCACCATAAATCCTCCTTTCTCACCTTGCATGGATCCCTGCACTTGCAATTGGACCCCCACCCCAAAACACACACTCGCACACACACTCTGCTATACACTGTCAGACAGCATCAATCCCTCATTTGTCCTTATTTCCCCCTCTGCACGGGATAGATAGAAATTAATTCATTGAGCTTTTAAGAACTGCAGCGGTCTTCTATGTGATGCTAACAAGCTAACAGGCTAGCTCACACTCTCAACTGACTCCTGCTGGTTTGATTGTCGACACATTCACACCATGTTTACGTTGGAGCAGTCCAGCAGGTTTAAGAGAAGTGGATCTCTGACGTTTGATCGTCTGAGGGTGATATCGAGAAAATGAAAGTGTCCCAGAGCTGAACGTAAGACAAACTCAGAACAGATGAAGCATCTGAATCAAGCCAAAGCTCATCCTTTTAATCAGAGCATTTACATTTACATCACGCTGGTGTCAAATATACATCCAACATAAACCCCTGCTGCCCCATTACACCTGCACTTACCAATAACAGATTTTCAAGATGAATTTTAGCAACCATGTTATTCAGCACATTGTCCACAAGGGGCGCCAAAGTCAACACAGACAAACAGGAACTTGCAGTTAATCCCAGATGACATTTGTTTTAATTCATCTCAATCAAGCTGCAGAAGTCAAAGATGAAAAACTGTAAAATCCTAAACAGTCAAATTTAGTCTAAACTGGGTTTAAAGAGTCTTTGGCTGAAAACCCACCAGAAGGAGACTGGTGATACTGGTTTTTACTGGGTCAGGAGGTGATCAAGTGAAGACAGCGTGATACGACCAAGCTAAAATTTATAGATAATGCACAAGTGAGATTGGTCAATTTTAAGATAGAAACCTGCAAACACTGCCTTTTCTAATTTTAAAGTCCCACTCTGATCATTTTTGTTTGTTTGTTATCACTTCAAGTGTTGTCAGTGGTCTTGATTGACTGTGATTATGAAGTTTTTGGCCAAAATCACGTTACCTGTGTCATTTTCAAAGTCTTTTCCTCTGCAGAGCTCCAGTAGCTCATTAGCAACTCGCCTCTGAGTCGTGGGCGGAGACAGCGCTGCTCTACACTCTCCACTTCACGCTAACTCGCAGCCCAACATTGACAATGTAGTAGATGTGGCAGGTGACATAGGAGTTATTCAGCTCTCGGACACTAATGTCTTTAGCGGTATAATGAAAGTTAATATCATAATTAGCGTTCTTACGAGCATTGCAATCCACTAACACACACTCTTCTTCCGCGATCGTCCTCTCTACTGTTTCAAGTCTGGCCTGGATTTGCAACAGAGAAAATCTTAGTGTGTCTGAACCTGCCGTTTGGGTCTGTCAGAGATTCACAGCGATTTGAAAGCAGAAATACTCAGAAATACAATTCTGCACTTGTGATATACTCGTGATATTCTTATATGTCCTGCAGCTGTATTTGCACCAAGCTGTACATCAGATTTAGAAACTCAATTCTTTAGTCGCCTAATAATGTACCCTTCACCACGGTCATCACTTCACCATCCTGTCAGTGACTGTGATTGGAGCTCTTTTAACCGAGCTTTAAATCAATAACTGCTAGTTTTTGGTCACATTTGAAGGTTTTATTTTGTACATGCATAGCTGAGAAGACAGAGAGGCATTATAAACTGTAGGAGTATGATTTGTCTGTGTGCGCTCAAATCCTCATGAATCGTGGCGAACCTGCTAGAAAATACACAAAAACAACCAGATGGTCTATTCATGCATGCCAATGAATGTTTCCCCAGATGAGCCGTCCTCCTCGGGTTCCTTACATACATTTATTTTCTCCATGACTTGAATTTCAAAAGCTGAAACAGATCACGGATGTTGGAGACGAACGCTTCTTGAGCGACATGCGACGTGACCTCGCTCCTCGCTGTAGAAAACACACAGAATACAAATCACATCCTTCGTGGGAGCAGATGGAGTGTGAGTTTCCTCACAGAGAGAAAGAAGTGAGATAATAGCCCACAGCTAATCCACTGCACACTGAAAACTCATTACTCCTAAAGAAGAAACGGAAAAACTTGCACCCAAAGACAGAGAAAACCCTCAGCTGAAGGTGAAGACCTTGGCACAAACTATCGGCTTCTCCTCATGTGTGAAATTTCTTTTTATTCAGCTGCTTTCAAACCGTTGTCTTTGTTGACGAGGAGCTTTGAGCGAGCCCGGCAGTGGGCAGACGTGGCTCTTCAGGACTCCCACTTGCACACCCACTAGCAGTGAAACACACGTAAAAACATGATGGGCACAAAGCTGCTCTACCTGGTGAAACAAACAAACACCGAAACCATCCGCAGACGAGCCACAGCAGCCTCAGAGCAACATACAAATGTTCAAACAAGCGTGAACCCCTGAACTGCACATCGTTTATGCGGTGTAGCTGACTGTTCTTTGGAATGAAAACACTACCAAGACACAACAGCAATGTTTCTTAGTAAAAATATTGATATATAATCATTTGAAACAACATAAAAAATGACTCAAAGACTCTCAAATCTTCCTTTTTCTTCCCAAAGTTAAATTTTTATATCTTGTTTTGGGAGCAGATGGACTCAAAATGACAAAAATATGAGTTCTTCCTTTCATCATTTTATCTAAATTTGCACCTCTATTGCTTGAAATGCATGCCCTCATAAAATGGGACAATCAACATGTGTGCACGGTTTGCACCTCAACATGTAAAGATTCTGGTTCAGTTTTGGCAACATAACCATGAGATGAATTGTTAAAGAAGATTGTGTTTTGGGGAAGAATTTACATGCCAGTTGTTATAGAAAGGAGGGCAGTTTCTGGAGTTTTAAAGTAAAATGCTCCAGATGTTTTTTCAATAGGTAGAGAAGTCAGTTTAGCAGCAGGACTCTTCTACTTCAGAGCCATGCTGTTGTCATACCTGTTGCCTGTGGTGAAATATGAAGGTTTTCCCTGAAAAGTCCTTATCTGGACTCCAGCAGATGTTATCCAGTATTAATGAAGCCTTCTCAGATCTGCAAACTACCCCCTACCATCATTGGCAACAGTGGTTGTTGAATTGTGTGCTAGTACAATCCAAGAGGGTCTCTCTCCTCTCAAGAGATGAAGACACATGGTCCATGATTTCCAAAAAGACTCCACCTCACCTCAGTCCATCTTTAATGATCTTTTTATCAGTTTCACAGTTTCATATGTTGTCTTTACACCATTTTCAGTTAAATATGTTTGAATAGTTTTCAAACCATCAATATCGTTTGTTTCTGACATTATTTTTTTAGAATGTATTAGGGATGGGCAATATGGGCTAAAAGATTTAAGATTTATAAGATAACGATAAAAGTCCCGAAAAATTTTTTATTATAATTCCAATCAGTATTTTGACTCATTTTGTCAAATAAGATACTTAACCACAAGGTTGAGTGGTAGGTTATGGAGAAAACTAATGCAATCAAACAATTCTCAAATGTGAAAACAATTTCAACATTTGTTCAAAACTCTTAATACACAGAGTGAACAGCAGCAGATCCACTGTCCGATGTCAGACAGACCTGATTGGACTCATCTAAACCCCAATCTTGAAGAAAATCCCTCGTTTAGTAACGAGCTGCTCAGAAACGTCTTCTTCATCACCTTCGGCCATGTTTGTTTGTTTGTTATTCTGCTCTGTGTGTGGGCTACGGCTGTGAGTCTGTCACTTGCGCTTACGTCATCAACTTGCATTTATCGTGTTTATCATGAGATGGCGAATATTTATCATGGAGGAATTTTCTGACAATGTATTTATCGCCCATCCCTACAACACACCCCATCTTTTTTGAAGCTGAGGATGTGTGTTGCGCTTGTAAAGTTAAGTGATGACAATTACAGTATTAATTGACTTTCATAGCATGAAGTCTTTAGCTTGGAAGAAGTCAACTTTGACCTCAGGTTACTTAAACACCAGTCTCCTGGTCAAAGCTTTTGTTTGACCCTTTCATCATCGCTGATTTCCACCCTAAAAGACTTGAAAACCTCGATAACGAGCCACATAACTTCTACCTAGTCCATCCTGTTTTGTAGCTTCTGTAGGAGTCCTGCTGTGCCTGAGGACATTACCTCACAGGCTCCTCCTCAGACAAACCACCAAGCTGCTCCTCTGATGTGTAGAAACCGTCGAGGCCTTTTCACCTCCACTGCACCATCCATATATTTAAACATAACAAGTTCACATTCCTTCAGAATTCATTACTCTGTTATGATAATCTCATGTCCGGGGAGCCTTTGCCTCTGCAGCACAAGAAATTAGAAAGTCATTCACATGCCTGCACGTGGGAATGAAATTATTGAAGATTAGATTCAGTTTTGATTATCTTTCCTCCCCTTCAGGTGGAAAATGTGTACTCAGCACGTGGAGATAAGAGTCTGCAGCGTCCAGTCAGAGGCACCACCATCACCGGCTGATTAATGACTGAGCCACAACAAAGACCTGCTCCAGCACCTCTCGGTAAGCAGGTGGCACACACGCACTGGAATGTAAAATGCCGCTCTGTCCACCTCACACATCATAAAGCTGCAACAATGAGCTGCTATGCTCGGTGCGCCCCCGGGGGACCAAATGTGCAGCAGATGTGCGTAAAGGAAAGGCTAAAAACGCACCAAGCGTAAAGAGGAAAAAGGAAACAAATGATATATGATCGGAGTGTCAGGGGAAAGTGACAAAAACGGGACTGGATCTTAAAGAGTCCGACAGAAGTTTGGAGAAAACGCACACAGACCAAGCTCACACACGTAGAAACAGCCAAAATCACACTCCAGGATTAAAAACCATCAAAGTTAAAGAGCTTTTCTTACCTCCCAACGCTTGTTTCATAACGAAATTCATGATGATGGCTTTAAATTCCCTGCCTTCTTTAACTGAGCGATGTTACATTCAATTGATACGGAAAAGCTGATTTCCTTTGTTGCCAGATCTGGAAAAGAAAAGACAAAAACACACATTTCTTTTTAGAAAATCAATCCTGTTACTAAAAACGTATCAACAGGGCAGTAAAAGCCATGAGTGGATGTTCATGACTGAAAATGCCATTATAGGGTAAAGAGGTCACTACAGATTCATCCTCGAGTGGGCTACTACAGATACGCTACCCATCAATTATTGAGAGGATGTTGCAGAAATTATTTCTAAGTGACTAGATTCAGTTTCAGTCACAGCATGCGTGGAGTCAAACATTCACAAAGAGTGCTTTTTTTGTCTTTTCAATGCGCCAACTGAAGGACACCAAGGTCAAAGGTTCAATCACAACCTGTACTCTGAAAACACGCAAACACATTTAAAATCCACAAACCCAATTAAAAGCCACGGGTAGAGATATCCACGCAAAATGAGGCAGGAATCCTGGTGTGTTCGGTACCTGTCACGACAATGAGGACTAACCTGCACTGTGCGTGGCAGAGCGAGTTTGCCGAAAAGTGTGCACGGTGCACGGTCATGACAGGACGGCGTGTTGACATGCATGTAGAAGGCAAACCGCTGATGTGTATTTTTTTTTTTGTCTGATCATGTGGTAAAACTTTCCATCCTCCATTGGAGGGACGGTGAACACAGACATCCCACTCCGTTAATGAGGCGACATTATACGCGCTGATACATGCATCCTAGAACAGCAACATGTGCACTTAACGTGTTTCCAATCGACCTGTGCGTGCATGCAAAGAGGCAGAGGTGGTGCACAAGCAGGGGTATACACATGCACTTCCTTGTTTGATCAGCACCACCTCGAGTGGATAGCTCCCCACAGAAACCGCATCATGCATCGATTTACCTCCGTCCGGCGACTGGCTGAAATCCTCCTGACACACTTTACAGCGAACAGGAATCAGAGAGCGCAGCTTCAACCCCAACAAGCAAGTTATCCTGCAACAACAAGAGCGCGGGCTGATCTAACTGCTCGTCCCTTGCATCTCCGGCTCCAGGGGGCTGGGAAAAAAAAGAGGGGACGTCCTTGGTGGTGGTGGTGCTGGTGGTGGTGCTGGTTCTGCTTCGTCTTCCTGCACACACTCTGTCTTACACACTCACACGTAGAGAGGAAGAGGAGGAGTAGAGGGTGGTGGTTTACGGAGGGTGAATCTGTTGTCGTTCACACCGTGATGGGGAAGGAGCGACTGAATCACATGGAGAGGATGGAGAGAGAGAGAGAAACGTCCCACTAACGTCCTCCTGACCGAGAGAGAGAGAGAGAGATACAGAGAGAGAGAGAGAGAGAGAGAGAGAGAGATCAATTATTCAGCCCTGACGCTGGCTGGCTGCTTCGACAGCCCACCCCGCCCCCCCTCCATGCAACGGGAAAGGGACAGGATGAAAACGGCAGAGCAGGATAGAAGAGGAGTATGATGGGGTAAATATGATGTCGAACACCGTCTTACTTCACGCGGCTCACGTTCGCATTCAGGAGTCAGAGAGGCGATGTGAGGAATCACAATGTTCCTCCTCCGGGGCGTCTGTCATGTTGCTATGGGAAATTCCCGAGTCTCCTCTTTCCTACACAACATTTCTCTGTGTCGTACTCCTCCGTTAGGATGTTCTCCTTCACATGAAGATATCAAGGACATTAAAAGTGTCAGGGGCAAAACAAGGCGACCAAGCATGTTTGGGTCTGTTCTTGCCCAAGGTCACACCGGAAAGGACGCTCAGGTAGCTCCCATGTGACCTGAAGGTGAAGTGATGAACACTAACCTGCTGAATACAGGAGTTAGATGATGCATGAAGGGGTCTTGTTATGGCCATGAAAGCCCCTCTGCACACAGATGCCTTACATTTATGGCTTTTTTGTTATACCTCGAGCATTAAAGGGATATTCCGTAAAATTAAGTTAGGGTCAAACACACTGTAACACCGAGTTAGACACCCCGTCGAGAGATGAATGTTACCGACCGCTTGCTGCTCTAGTTATACCAACTTTAGTAACGACCGCACAAAAGCAATACAGAGAGCCATGCACTCAAAAAGCCACTCTATAGCCACAAATAATGCTCAGAACAGCACCTAACTTCATCAACAGGACATATAGGGTCACAGCCACAGTACTAGCCATCAAACACCTTTTTAACTTTGACTAATTTCTTAAACAAAGATACTAAACACAACTCACCTACTCTCTTCCAGCAGCCGCTTGTTTGTACGGAGACCACCGAGTGAGTCCATCGATTGCAGCGGGGTGACGCAGCTCAAGGAGAGGAACATTTATGATCATTTCTTTATCATTTCCTTGAAGTAATAATCATCATATTAATCATTTTGCACTGCAGACGCGGTAGTTCACAAACAAGTGGCTGCTGGAAGAGAGTAGGTGAGTTGTGTTTAGTATCTTTGTTAAAGAAATTAATCAAAGTTAAAGATGTTTGGTGTCTAGTACTATGGCTGGGACCCTATATGTGCTGTTGATGAAGTTAGGTGCTGTTCTGAGCAGTGTTTTTCTATTTGCATGTTTTGACCTCATGCAGTGATTTTCACTGCAGATTTTTTATTCAGTTCTTCAAAACTGCATTTTTTAAATAAAACAATAAAATTCCCAGTTTCAACATTTGATATGTTGTTTGCATTAATTCCTCTTAGATAAAGGCTTTAACAGACTTGTAAATGATCAATACTCTTTATCCAGTAGCCCAAAATATTAGGAACTGGGGTCAAAAAAATCCTTTAAGTCTGACTTAAACAACAGATAAAACATAACTTCCTTCAGCTGAAAAATGCTCTCAGCTGGTTCGGGACTCGTGAATTTCTGTTTATGTGTCATTGGAAATACAGCGCATCACATAGAAGTAATGACTGCTGAGGGTCTTTGTCGGGGAAACTGAGTCATCTTTGGCTTGGAGGATTTCTAACAAAAAGCCTGCAGGACAAATTGCTTTTGAAAGATGTGAGCATTTATGTATCAGGGTGGTCTGACAAAGCATGTTTGTAAACCCTTCAGCACTGTTGGAGTGCTCTGGAACTCCATGGAAGTGGGCAAATTTACAAATGGAGATGATGATGTGTAATTGTGAGGAGATTGAGAAAGTAATACTACGTAGATTTGATGCAGCGATTTCTCTCTTTTTGCAGAATATAGCCATCTACAGTGCGCACAGTTTATCTGTTTCAACAAAATCTGCATTTTTCATGTTATTAAAGCCAGTGTACAAATTAAAAAATGATGAACCATGGTTTATTTTAGAGTTTGAACAGTACTTGGTCATAATATGGGTACATGAAGCAAGAGGGGCAGGAGCTGCTCCTGATGTTATGAGCCTGCTTCAGTCACTAATGTCATTTGAGACCTTTTTGTTCCCAGTTCATAACATTTTCACCAGACTTCTCTATCTGGATCTCCCTTGTAGGAGGACTTAACCCGTAAGGCTGATCTTGTCTGTGACACCAGACATAATACAATATTGAATTTTATCCTGATTCATGATTTGTTCTGCAAATTTATGCAAAGCTGTGACACTGAAATTTCTCATCTTACACCCTCGGAGCTGGGTCTCATTTAGCCTCTTATTCGGCATTTCCCAGTGTTCTTTGTAAAATCACACCAGATTCAGAGAGGCCTCCGCTGTGCAGGGGCCTGACATGTTGGAATGAGGCTGAATGTGGTTAATTCTTATCCCCACTTCCACTTCAACTCACCTGTTCACTTTATTTGAAGCATATCAGGAACAAAAGCTCAAACAGCTCGCCAATTTCCCAGACACAGACTTCCTCAATTATCCCAGCGAGGTCATTGTACTACTCATAGGTCTTTGTAAAACTCATACTTGGATAAATACTAGTCATAGGAGGTAATTGTTGCTGAACTCAACCCTTATATGTGAAACTGCACACGATTGTAGCATGAGTTAAGTGATTTTACAAAAATCTCTGCAGGTAAAAAGTCAGGAAATAGAGCAAAGTTTGTATCAACATGGAGACACAGTGCAGATTCAAGCAGCAGAAACTTCAGCCACAAACGAACCAGAAACCAAGTCCGAAACAGTAGTGAGTGTTTGGGAATCCCCCCTTCACCCAGAGCCACCATGTCTAAAAAAAATGCAGTGAAGGTGCTCCTGGCTCAGATAAAACTTTGTAAAATATCCTCTCTGGAAGGAAATAGCTGACATGACAAACTTTAAGTATATAAAACATAAAAAAAGTGGCAGTGGACGCCCTTCCAGTGGATGTAAAATAGTCCCCACTGGATGCTGATCATGTCTGCACCATAAACTGTATTCACTATGGACAACTTGGTTCTGCCTTCCACCAGTATACGGATTTAAAGCCAAAAGGCTCTTGGTAATTGCATTTTTTTCTCCACATTGTGCAGTAGCATTGTGCACATTCGGCGGTAGAATCGCTGAGAGTCGCTGTGATGACACTCTGCTAAAACAGCGTATCCCCCGTGTGAGCTATGCAATCTTCGTATGCCCATAGGCTGTATCAAGTGTCAATCATAGAAAAACTGGGGAACGGATCTTTTTAGTGAACTGATTCTAGTGATTCAGTTCATCTGAAAGAACTGACATGCCCATCACTACTTCCGTTCTTGTTCTTCAGCCTTTTTTTTCAACCAAGCAGACAAGCGTCTCCTGTGAGTAGCATACTTATTATTGACAAGTATTATTGACTCACTCTCTGTCCTTTTCTGTATCTCTAAGTAAAGCAAGGATCCACGTGTTGGTACTGACTCTTGCATTCATCATAACTTCAGCTGCCTTGTTTTTGCAGCCTCAGGAAGAAAGACAAACATAAATAGACCTTGTGACAGAGACTTTTGTCAAACTGACGTGTAGGCGGCTCTTGTGAAACCCATTAAACTGCCCAGCAATGTATGCATGACTCTTGAGATGCTCCCCATTCATTTCTATTAGCCCAGCCTGTCAAACCGCAGTATTGCTGATGCCACAGGTCGCCTCCCTGGATGGTTATTGACCAAAGCAGAGGTCACTGTGCGTCCACCAGGGAGCCTCCACTCGTCCCCTCCATCAGCTCCTGAGATGACTATTGATCAGGAGCTGGGATCAATACTAACTCACATTAAATGATTTCTTTTAAAGCCATTACTGAGATTCCAGTATTGCATTGCCAATGGGATTTAATTTTTTATATATGATCATGTCTTCTGATCAATCATGATCATTTTTTAGTTTTGTAAGTATGCACAGAGCGTGTGCAGGACTGTTTCACTGCTCTCTTCCTCATGACCAGCTGAGATTAGTGATTCCTGCTTGTTGATATGAAACTGATTGTTTGTGACGTACAGATTCAATCCTAACAAAAGCTACAGGTTTAAATCTTCGCTGAGTCTATCTCAGGAAGTGAAAACCTTGCATCCCTCCTAGGCGAGAAAGATAAAAGAGTAACAAAATGAAAACCTCACTTCACCCTGGGTACACTTCAGATCCGATGACGGAGCACAAGGGCAGAAACACCATCATACACTCTTCACTCACATATATACTCCCCTGGCATTTTGAGAAGACACCTCTGGTCTTTGTTGAGTACTACTCTCTTCTTTATTTTTCAGTCTTTCTTCACATGTAAGCTTAAAGTAGTCAGTGAAGGCCTGAAATGACCTATTGACATACGAAGGTCCCCCGGTGGCCTGCTACAGCCAGTTTGAGCATTAAGGTGTCAAGGTGATCTGTAAATCAGCACTGGAAACGCCATTAATGTAATGAATTTATTCCTCTGTGTGGTTGTTGATCCGTGATCTCCAGAGGTTGAGCTGCTGAACAGAATGGTTAGAGGATGAGAGGCTGCAGGTTTCTCTTCAAAGTCACTTCTATTCGATCTGGATCTACTCATACTGTTTTGACGTGCCGATAAAGTCAGGTGACGCTCTGTAAGGAGAGTGGAAATGGTCAAGTGTGAGTGTGGGTTGGACAATCAAAGAGAGATGGACTTTTTAAAATCTTTAAAAGACAGTTTTTGAAAGTGTCCGGTCATATCAAATAAAGATGCTGCAGCTAGCTCCCTAGCAGCTGCTGCCTCTGCTTTGTGGCCTGTGGTTAGTACTATGGCTGGGACCCTATATGTGCTGTTGATGAAGTTAGGAGCATTATTTATGGCTATAGAGTGGCTTTTTGGTCGAGCATGTGGCTCCTGTGACCGCTGTGTATTGCATTCATGCGGTCATTACTAAAGTTGGTTTAACTAGAGAAGCAAGCGGTCGGCAACATTCATCTCTTGAGGGGGTGTCTAACTCAGTGTTACAGTGTGTTTGACCATAACTTACATTTACGCTGGAATATCCCTTTAAATCTCAATAATGTCAGAAAGAAGAGGCTCATTCCTGACATTTCTTTGTGTGCACATATTTGGCCTACAGCAGACAAATAAACCAAGATAACAAATCAAACAGATCAATTACAGAGCTGCAAGTCTCGAAATCTGCCAGTAAAGGCGAAATTCAGATCCAGGAGCTTTACCAAAGATGATTACAGACAAATAAACCCCGAGAGGTCAGTCCCTCTGGTGTTGTTGCTCTTTATTGTTTCATAAACCTAGAGGAAATGAAGCTTTATTAATATGTATTCACA